TAATGGATCGTATCTTCAAACTGTCTCTTCTTTTATTTTATTATAATGGGACTCAAAATAAAACTTTGTATCAGAACACGTAGGGAATAAAGTCAATTTTCTTCCCTATGTAGTGACATGCCAGCCAGCTTCATGTTATGCAAAAACAGTAGAGAGAGTGGATGAGAGAAATAAAGAGAGAGGCAACCTGTTTCTTGTCTTGGAGGTTGGGGTACCCCACAGAATTAAAGTAGCACTGAATGTAGGGAGGGATCTAACTTATCCATGTCTTTGTAATTATGGTGCTGGGTCAGAATTAACATGTATTTTGTCAGTGAGGAAGACTGAAATGCTTTCCACTATTTCATGAACATGCCTACAGAGTAGAAATTAATAACCAGAGAGATTATAAATAAAATACTATAGAAGATACATCACTTTGAACTTCTTTGATCATACCTACCCAATATTTGCATTCATATTAAAATAGATGAACATGATTATATTCACATGCCAGTCCAACTTAATACATCCTGATTTTCAAGATGTTTATAAAAATGTCATATCGTGATATTGATCTAGCTATTTGAATATTGAGCAAAAGTTAAAAAACTGTTTTGGGCTCACCAAGAAAATATTCTAGGAACCAGCTTGTGAGCTCAAAACATGCACTCTGCAAATCTGGCTTGATACATCTGTTTTGGAAATCTCACCCGATATGAATTGAGGAGGTGCCTATGGGGAAATAGTTTTTCAGCCCCCTCCTGAAAGTCTATCATTTGTGATTCATTATTCTGTGTTCCTGTTGCTCTTCTCAGGCGTCCCCTTTAAATAACGAAAACTCTCTGGGGTGGGGATGCTATGGGGAACAGTAATGATTGAGTTAGTCTTAGTGACAGATAGCTGATTTTTGCCACCAAAAATCAGCACAGAATTAATTCACTTTACTTTTTTTTATGCATGAGACCAAGTCTATCAGTCAGTCTTCCTTTTTCTTTCTTTTTTATTTGCTTGTTGGTAAGAGTCCAATTTTATTTGGTGAGTGGCGGAGGAAGACTTTGCATATTTGCTGAAGATGTCTTTAAATGCTCTATTGGACTCTTTTGGTGGAAAATAATAGGAGGAATTATGCATATTTCAGCAATAGAAAAGACTGCATTGCTGAATGTGGACAAAACAAATGCAAATTTATTTCAACCCTAATAGAAATGTGAGGAATCTAAATGGTTTCTTTTTTGTTTGTTTGCTTAATACCATTTTCTATAATTTTCATTTAAAGCAATGTAGCAACCTTTGAAGAATTGACTGATATTCCTTATAAAAAGAAATAAAAATAAATTGTTCAAGGCAAGGAAAAAAAACAGGTAGAGAAACATGACCAATAGAGCTTAAAGATAAATATATGATTACTTCTGGTTATCTTTGGACTTGAAGAACTTGCATTTTTGCTAGTTCATTGTTGTAATAACAGGTGTGATGGCTTTTTTCAAGGCATGTTTCCTAAGTGTGTCTGGATTGCTGCTATTCAGGATTAGGATTTAGTCATGTAAGTTAGTTCGGCTATGACAAAGGAACATAATATGGGTCCTGCCTTAGATAGTTATTGCAATAATAAAGAAATGTCCTACTGAAGATCTGTTTATTTCTGCTTTTTTCTTTTACTGCTATTGCACAATTATGGGAAAATGTCCTAGCAAGTAGCTAGAAAAATCTAAGGGTAAGAATTGGCTTAATGTTATATGTGCAGTATTTCTCCACCTAACTCAAGCTTCATACTTATGTTTTTAACAAAATTACAGATCATAGGGAAAATGTGTAGTCTTTCAGCATGCAGGTGAACGTAATATGATTTGTCTTTCATAAAACTCACAATTAAATATATTTATTTAAAAAGAACATCATGCATAGTTCTAATTTAGAAAACTAGCTTATTTATCAAGCACTTCCACTTTGAGGGTTAATGCACACTTGCATATAAACAAATGAGCAATTGATTTAGGAACATAATTTTGGCAAGAAAAGTGAAAATATACGTTTTCAAAACAAGTAGCAACAAACAAATTCTTCTGCTTTTGTCTCAAATTTTTTCTTTTTTGCAAGACTAAAGGTAAACATTAGAAACTTGGGTGTTTCAAAAGCCCTCAGGAGCTCAGCAGTCATCTCTTGGGTAAGGCCTTTCCAGACTTCCCGTGGCAGCTGGAAGCATTTCCCCTGAGCCACAGTCTTCTCTTGCATAATTTTTCACAGTGCAGGCAAATCTATGGCTATTTATTTGCCTCCTAATGTACTCTGATCTCCCTGAATATAGAGATTCGATATTTTTTCTCTCCATCATTAAAATAGGTAATACAGAAAGAACATAAATAAGATAAAAACAGAAAGGGTCTATCCCTGCCATGCCCATTGTGGTCTCAAATTATTGCGGACGCAGTTGCCCTTGCCTATAGTACATCTGTCAACTCCTTCATCCATATAAAGCCGAACTTTCTTTATGATTCTGTTCTCATCTCTCTACTGCCATAGTATTTTTCAACTACATCCACTCTCATTGTTATCTCTTTTCTCTGACCTCACATTGTACCACATAGCTTATCTCTCTGTAAAATGTTTTGAATCACTCTCTATCATTCCGTTGTCTCAAATATTGTTTTGTATCTTCATGGGCAGCACTCCCAGGTAGAAATTTCTGTGATGATAAAGTATTCTTTAATCTGCACCATCTAATATAGCAACAGTAACCATTGGCCATGCATGGCTATTGAACACTTGAAATATGGCTAGTGCAATTGTGAGTCAAATTTAATTTTAAAAAATTTTCATTAATTAACATTCAAATTGAAATAGTCACATGTGGCTAGTTACTGACATTTTGGACAGTGTAATTCTAGAGCATGAAGCACAGTACTTGGTACACATAGCAAGTGACAGATAATACTTAATAATCAGATTATGTTCAAGAATTTGACAGGAAAATGTGTTGCTCTGGGAGAATGTTTATCAAATACTTGAGAAGATTAAAAAATCAAAATAAGAATAGAAAAAAGAGACATTAAATTTATTGGGAAGAAATAATGAGTTAACTTGAGAGCAGAGGAAATTTAAGTGCCATAAGAAAAGCAAATTGACTAAGAAGACACATAGCTGTAAAAATCCAAACTAATACTGGTATCCAAAATCCAGAGACATGGCTATTAAATATACCAGACTGATTCTCTCTTTTCTAAACTCAGAATATGAATTAATTAAAGAAGATTAAAGAACAGGATGAACAAAATGCAATAGATTCAACTACATTCTGTTAGAATTTCAATTAAAAATGTTTTATTTATTATTAGATCTTCTGAGAACATACTGTTATATTTAAATTTCATGGTATTGACTATCAAACTGTTACAGTTGAATTTTATTGTATTGACTATAGCTTGAAATATTTGGTTAGATATACTTTTACAGAAATACTTTATTCTTCTGTACCTTGGCTCTTTACAAATTATTTCTTTGTACATTTTGAATTCTAGTTACAAGCTGATTTTAATAACTTGTTTTTTCTATTAAAGCTATGGAATTCCAGTTTCCCTTATTCATTTAATAAATATTTATTGAATGTTGTCTGTGGGCTAGCCTGCTAATCTTTGGGAATGATCTAGTAAATGAGCCAAATGTGATCTTTGTCATCGTGGCATATGAATCTAGCAGGAAAAGTCAGGCTGGTCAATAAAAGCTAAGAAACATTACAAATATTGGCAATATTGACATGCTCAGCAGTAGAGTTCCAATTATACTCCTGGCTCCAAGAAAATTAGTCAGTGAAGAGCCTTGGAAGGTCTGTGTGTGAGGGCAGACTGAGATATCTTCATGGATGAAACTTGGCTCTAGTTGACCTATGAAGTCAACTCCAGAGTAACTGGGAGTTGGAGAGCAGTCAGGTAGGTAATAGGAATGTCACAGCATTACAGGTGAGAGAAACAACACAAATACAGTCCACACTGTGGGTGGGAAATAATCACAGAGAACTATCTTGTCAACGTAGACAGATATGTGATATTAGTAAATAGAAGAAGTTTATGCAGAGGGTACCCAGTCTGATACAATGTTGGGATGCCCAGGTGAAGGTGATCCTGAAGATTCTATAAATAAAGACCTAGAGCATAGGTCAGACATTAGAGAAGAAGCTACAGATTTGGGAATTTTTAAAAAAATATTTTATTTATTTATTCACGAGAGATACAGAGAGAGAGAGAGAGAGAGAGAGAGAGAGAGAGAGAGGTAGAGACACAGGCAGAGGGAGAAGCAGGCTCCATGCAGGGAGCCCGACGTGGGACTCAATCCCAGGTCTCCAGGATCACACCCTGGGTGGAAGGCAGCACTAAACCGCTGGGCCACCCGGGCTGCCCAGATTTGGGAATTATTGACTAATTATGTTGCTTGAACCAATGACAGTGGTTAAATCTAGAGGGAGAGAGAAGATAGCCAGACCTTTAGTCTTAAATCTTTAGTCTTAAATCTGGGAACAAAAGAGAGAGCCTTGGAGGGGGGAAAAAACAGTAAATAATTTTTGTGAATTATAAAGTAGAGAGAGAAACAACTTACCAGAGGAAGGTATCTTTAAAGAATAACATCAAGCAGGTCATACGTTGACAAGTTGAAGAGAAGAAACTTAAGGAAAGTTTCCTAGATTTAGTAAGATCTTATAATATTTAATTTAGTCCATGATTATTTTGAAAGAGGAAATTCATTAAGATAGTAAACACAGAAGCCATTTTTCAGGAAATAAGGAGAGGAGAAGGTGCCAGGGGTGTGAAAGTAGGAAACCAATTTGGTCAACATTGAAAATACGAAAAGATTTCATAGAGGCTGGAAGATTTAGTGGGCTATTTATTTGTGCATCTTTAAAAGATAGGAGATCTAAAAATGCTGAAGATGGAAAATAAGGAGTCTTTGGTGTTTTTGAAATTGAAGAATTCACTGGTCCTCACTGTGTTTGTTCTAAAGTTGAATCTCTCTTTTTCATTAAATCCTAGTGAATCCATTACAGAAGAAACCCTGAAAAAGGCAAAGGAGATTGGGTTCTCAGACAAGCAGGTTTCAAAATGCCTTGGGCTGACTGAGGCCCAGACGAGGGAGCTGAGGTTAAAGAAAAACATCCACCCTTGGGTTAAACAGGTAAAGGAATTTCCCTTTCCTCGAAGGGGTAAACAGAGGCCCCAACATGTAGAGCCATTACCAATAGAAAGAGGGGTGGAATTCAAAAGTGATTCTACTGGTCCCATTGATGGCCACGATGCCACAAATTTTATTCAGCATAGGATTGATTTCAGCTTTAAAGGGAAAGGTTGAAGGGGCGCTGGGACATAAAGGTAAACGTGAGTACATGGTTTTCTCTGCTCAAATGAAAAAAAAAAATCAAAATGACCTCTTCTTTACTTTTTTGACCATGTGCAAATATATCTGCGATAAGGTAAATCCTCAGTGTAATAGGAGGACTTGAAATACTCTAGCATGGTGGCTGACCTCTTGAAAAGAATGGTTATCTCTTTTGGCACTAACTTTTTACAGGGTAATACTTTATTTTAAGTGCCCCATCATTATGGTTCATTTAGTATTCATTGTGATAGGGTTGGGCATAATGAGCTCATCTAGTATGCATGACAATCACACAAGAACTTTCATAGGTGTAGCGTTGTGATTTTTATTTTTTTTCTTTTTGGACTTTAGTAGAGGAAATGTAGAGGGATGCCTTGGCTTAAAGTACCACCAGCTGGTTTTTGTCCTTTAAAATCATTGACTTTTCTCCACGTGCTCAGGGGGCATACACATACCCTTTGGTCTCAGGTTTGATGCTGAATATATTCTGTTCAGCAATTATCTTCCTTCCTTCTCACCTGCCTTACACTCGCTTGCCCTGTTGGCCTTGAATTCTTGCTCACTAAGCTGAGCTCCTGGCCTTTGAGAACTGAATTGATTTACTTTTTCCAAATATGTTCAATGAGACCTTGTCCCCTTCCCCTCTTCCCCAGGCTTTAAGGTATTTGTGTCATCCTATTGCTCTGTGCCATAGGTAACTTAAATCCTATGCTTGAATTTGCAAACCAAAGAGTATCTTGCATACAGGTCATTTTGCTCTGCTCTGAGCTGCTTCAGACAGCTGTTTGGGTAAACCTTCCAGGTAACCAGTTGACTATATGACCATTTTGCTTTGGACATGAGAAGTACTGCTGTAATCCATCAGTGATGCTCTGGGATGTGTGTACTGTTCTTTATTGCTCAGGTGATAACTAGGTCATATCATTGTTTCTCCACACAATCTCGTTTTCAGAATTAGAAAATAATTGAATTGTGCCTACCATTTCATTGTCTTTGTATATGACAGTAAGAGGCATTAAAGGACTGCAGCACAATTTTTACTTTATTCTTGAAAAAAAATACAACAAAGGGAATAAAATCCCAATTTATTCATTTTTTTTCTCTTGCAGATCGATACACTGGCTGCAGAGTACCCATCAGTAACAAACTACCTGTATGTCACGTACAATGGTCAGGTGGGCACTGCCAAATTGCTGGATGCACAAGGCCCTAGATTTAGTGAATGGTCCACATGGGAGAATTGAAGTTTTGTGGTTTTGCTTATCTGTTAATGTTGGTATTAAAAATACATCGTGTGGGTCAGATGTGATCATCTCCTTCTATACTCGATCTTTTCAGAACTGCCTTAAGATGGTGAAATCAAACAAGTGAAAATATGATAAGGATACCAGCTACATGAACATACAATTATGGTGTGTTCTCATGGCTATTTAATTAAAAAGATACTGAACTTATTTTTTTATGAATAAATTTATACTTACGGGTTCTCAGAGACTAGTAGGGGATACACGTCAATAAGAGGAAGGATGAGAAAGGCAGACTCAGTGATGGGACAAAGAGTTTAATTTGGTTGAAGAAGAGCACACAATAACTTTTGTGTCTTTTTTTATTTTCCCTTCTCCTCAGGAGCATGATATCAATTTTGATGACCATGGCATGATGGTGTTGGGCTGTGGTCCATATCACATTGGTAAGGTGGTAACTTATATTTACATAGGACTTTACAGTTTATATAGTACTTTTCATGTTCACGAATAGAGTACACATTCACTCTATTATTCCAAGAATGATGTAAAACAGATGCTGTTAGAAGGAATATTTTGCAAATTAAGAAATTGGGGATCAGAGAGGTAAAGCCCCAGTTGATATGGCTATTAAATGGTAGAAATGGGACTCAAATGCAGTTCTCCAATCTAACTCCTTCTCCCATTTCATTGTGTCCCCCTTTTATGTTTTCATCCTCATGAACTAAATTGAGCCTCTCACTGAGATTGGGGAATGAATTACACTTTGGCATTTTCTCATCTGGCAGTTTTACATAAAGATGTGTATTTGCTCAAGAACTTCATATATCAACCAGAAATTACATTTGTAGATGAGATCTATGAATATATGACTTCTGTTAGTATCAAACACAAAGAGCTTGTATCATTTGTGCATAGAGCATTATATGATTTAATTAAAATATTATCACCACAAATTGTTACACCTCACCCAGTCACTTAAAATTAGACATTTAATAACAATGTAATAATAACTTACAGTTACAAAGTATATAGTAAACAGACAATGATATTTCTTTCTTTTTTTTTGACAATGATATTTCTGAACGAGTATATTTAACATCTAGTCTCACAAGTTATTCTAGTATGGAAATGATGAAATACAGAATTTAAAATGTATGTAGTCTTACTCTGTTACTTTAAACATAGTTTATTTTAGGTTTTACAATTAACCAAGTGCTTCAGGATATGCTACTTCAGCAATCTTTGGTCAAATATTGAAGTAGGTTGTAAGTGTTTATATCTTTACCACTTTAGTTATCTCATGGCTAAGTGGTCTACTGCCTTCTTCTCTAGACCTATCTTCCTTCCTATTCAAATTTTACCTAATTTATGTAATAGTTCTGCATTACCTTAGCGCCCAGGGAAGACTAGCTAGGCTGATAATCAAGTCTATACTTAATTGATAGTGAAAATTAGCATCCTACTATCTTTGAGTAATTATTGTTCTGATAAGAATTTTTCGGAGACAAAATCCTAATGCAAAGGATTAATACAAATCCCAGAACTTTCAGTTCTGTGGCATCCCAGTAGAGTTGATATTTTGAGGTATTTAGGCCATTATTGTACTTCAAATTACTTTTTAGAAGGTCACTCACTCTGTATGGGGTGGCCTTGCCAAGCTAAAAGGATATGCTTGGAAAGGACAGGATTTTCCAATCAATCAAGATATGTCAGAGCTCCAAGGCACTTCAAGGATCATTGGGTTTAGACCTCAGACAGCAGAGTAAGTGGAATAACTAAAACAAGAACTCAAATATTCTGATCACTAGCTGAGCTATTTTTGTGTACTGAGGCCAGTATGTTCACTTTGAGTTCTTTTCCATAAATGAGGGTTTTTTTAAATCATTACATTAACTCACATTAACTTTGAATTTGAATGTTTTAAATATGGAGATTACCAATTGCAGAATTTAGCATACAAAACAAGCCAACATATCATTGTTGTGTAATTAGCCTCTGTTTTTCCTACTATTAATATAGTGTGCATAATGGATCTGAAATTTACATTTTAGAGTTTTAAAAATTGCAATGAGAGGGCATTAGCTTCCTTCGCCTGGACTGACTGGCAATATCTTTCTGCTGCTCTCTGTGTTGTAACTTCGTTTCTCCACCCCTTTCCCAATCTCACCCTCTCTGCAGGCAGCAGTGTAGAATTTGATTGGTGTGCTGTCTCCAGCATCCGCACACTGCGTCAGCTAGGCAAGAAGACAGTGGTGGTGAATTGCAACCCTGAGACCGTGAGCACAGACTTTGATGAGTGTGACAAACTGTACTTTGAAGAGTTGTCTTTGGAGAGGATCCTAGACATCTACCATCAGGAGGTAAAAAGAGAAAAAAAAAAAAAAGAAAGAAAGAAAAAAAGGGGGAAAAAGAAGAAAAATATATGCAGTGCATACTTTATAGGTGTAATATATAATATATATATATATATATATATATATATATATATATATATATGTATGTTGTAATTCCCCTTAGGAGAAAGAGCTGCCAGCGTCTTCCACTGTCTAATTTTGTAGTGAAGCTCTAAAAATATTATCCCAGCCTTAGAGTCTTGAGGTCCTGGCACAGAGTGATTTTTTTTTTTTTAAGCATTCCAACAAGATTGAAAACTCTTCTTGGTAACTTGTGCTAGACACAGATTAACTATACAAGACAATCCCCCAAAATACTTTGCAGAATGATTTAATTGATCATCTAGACATACAATAAGCCTCATCTCTGTAGTTCACTTGTTGTTGCAGTTTAATAATGAATGGTCCCCAGAGGAGAGAAGTCAGTTGTTCACAAATGACCAGCTAATTTTTTGTGCCATCAGATGAAGCCATTAGTCTTCAATTTAAGATTGATGAGTTCCTTCTGACTGATATCGGTACTTCTACAGCTTTTTCTGACAGTTATTCTTCTACCAGTACTCTAATATTATTGAGAATATCTTCACTGTGAATTCCTATGATCACAGGGTACTATATGTCTATAGAACAAGTTAAAATATCTTACAGTTAAAAAAATAACTACTGGAAGATTTCAGAGTGATATCTAGGGGTTGTGTCCTTTGATGTGTTTACAGTTAATTTGCTACTATGGAGAATCATCCCTATGTATGAAATATGACCACTTACAAAAAAAATACTGAATTAGGGCCATAGTACTTAAATTCAAGTTTTGAACTTACAATTCATTGAGTTGCTCAAGTTTCTTAAATTCTGTGTTTCATCTTTGTTGTTGTTGTTGTTATTAATGAACCAGATGATTGTATATATGTGCTTCCGTGAAGGCACTGTGAAGATAATGAGATTTGTGGCTGAAATCACATTGTAAAATTCAGTGCTAGAACATGTGATGATTTTATTCCACTGAAGAAAAATAGACAAATTTAGTATGGATATATCATTATAGTTGTCCATTTGGGACTGGCCCACTTATCTTTTAATATAATGAAATTAAACCATTAGATAGAATATACACACTTTTTTATTTCCCTTTTTGACATGATTTTTCTAATAATTTTTTAAGATTCATTTCAAACCAAATGCATTCTACAAATATTTCTTGAGTACCTTTTGAATACCAGGCTTAGCAGGATAGAGAGCCATAAAACCTTTAAGATATTAGAATAGAACTGGGACCCATAACATAAATATATGAAAAATTACATAGTTGTTTAAAAAATATTAACAAGGATTACAAGAATTACAGCGGGCATTTTACACATAATTAATTATTTCCCCTTGAAATGGTTTAAGGAAAGATTAAAAACTTCTACAGCTGCCTTTGGATATGGTTATACATGGATATTAATGAGATCCTTTCATAATAACTGAGTTCAGTATGATGGTAAAAAATAAATTGGCACTTCTTTGAAGTTAATTGGCATTTATAGTGCTACTATTTAAGATATTTTTAAATGTCATATTGGAGAATTTAAGAACAATATTCCATTGATGTGTTTGTTAGACTATCTCACCGGAAATGTTATTTTAACATATATACATATCATACACACATGTATGTACATTTCCTTCTATGAGGTTGTTGTGTATCCCTTCACAGCCTCCAGGAGACTGCCATAATCCATCTTTGGGTGATGCTAAAGGCACTGAAACATTCAGTAGTAAATCTGCAGAAAATTGGAAGCCATCTAAACTTATTCAAAACACCCATTTGAGTCACTTTAGAAGGGCAATAGGCTACATAGCTACATAGGTTGATAGAAAGTATGATGACTCTCCTTGTCTAGGTCTCTTGGTCTAGTTCAGGACCAACACTATTTCCATGGCAACAAGGATGCACCTCTAAAGAAAACGTAAGGGGGAGTCAGAAAAGTGACATGCTGTGTGAGTAAAGCAGACTGGGTTGGTTAATAGAGCATTCACTCTTGATCTCAAGCTTCATGTTAGGTATGCAGCCTACTAAAAAAACAAAAAAAGAAGTCTTGATCTAAGATGGAGTGAAGGGGGTCCTTATTATTTTTTTAAAAGGTTTTATTTATATATTTGAGAGAGGCAAGATAGCAAGAGAGAGCATGAACAAGGAGGAAAGGAAGAAGCCGGCTCCCTGCTGAGCAGGGAGCCTGACCCAGAGGTCAATCCCAGGACCCTGGCACATGACCTAAACCAAAGGCAAATGCTTAGCAGACTAAGGCACTCAGGCACCCCAGAAGGAATCCTTGTGCTAAATTCTCCTTCCTGCCTGCTAATTTTTTTTAATAGAAAATGTTACAGTGATATATTCTTTTGGCTGCAGACATTTTTTATACTTTATAAAGAGCAATCATTAGAAAACTTAAGTCATTTGTTCCTTGTGATTGCATTCATGGATTCTTACTCCTTTAGAAGAAACTTGCATTGTGATTTTTTTTCCCCTTAATTTTGGTGTTGAGTCAAGAAAATGAGAAGGGGTGACTGCTATCTATGAGGTTTTGACAGATGATATTTTGTCTAGTTCACAATTTTGCTTAGGGTGCTTCTTAAAAGGGAGAGATATTCTCAAGTTATTTTGAGATATATGAGTTGAAAATTATGACATTATTTATAGAAGTTGCAACACTGTGCTTCTCTTTTATTAGATCTATTATTAAATCTATTTTCTAGGGATAAATTATGCAATAATCTTTACAGGCTACAATAATGAATAAGAATCACACAGGTCCTGGGTTGCCTGGGTGGCTCAGTTTTTTAAGTGGCCAACTCTTGATTTTGGCTCTGGTCATGATCTCAGGGTCTGGAGATGGAGCCCTGGGTTGGGCTCTGTGCTCAGTGGGGAGCCTGCTTGGAATTCTCTCTCTCTCTCCCTCTCTCTCTGCCACTCGCCCCACTTGCTTGCACGGTCTCTTTCTATATAAATAAATAAACCTTTAAAAAAGAAAAAAAGACTCACAGTTCCTGTCTTAACTTCACATTCTCCTTTTTTCTTTGGAGTGTCATGGTTTGAAAAGTTATGTAAATGAACATTAATTTTCTTCTATCTCAGCCCCAGATAAGACCCATTTATTATTATTTTTTTAATTTGTTCATTAAAAAGCAGATTGAGTCTAAGAATGCCAGGCAATATACCTGACACCTCATGATGTCCCTATTTGGTTGGAATCCTTAATTTTTCTGCTTTTACAATGAATAATTTACTGGATCATACCCCTTAAAATGTACTCTGATTAATGATATAATTGTTCTATTTTTAATACCTAATGCTATATGTATATATATGTATACAGTGGCACTCTAACACAATTTATGTTAAATGAATGAATAACATTCATTAATGATAGACAAAACCCATTAAAGAATGTATGACTCTAAACTAGAATTGAATTTCATTCCTAGCATTTGATTTAACTATAGTTAAATATAATCTTAAGGGTCTACCTGAAGTGTTGAAAATTAAAGTGTTTTATTAAAATGTGAACTACTAAGATAATAAGGCATGGTAAAGATAATAAATCAGTCTCAAAGACAGATGTACAAAGAGTAGAGTTTTGTAAGTTAGAGATAATACACAAAATTACAAAAATCTGGGCCATCTTTCAATGAATTAAATACTATTTATGTTAGTAAAATAAATTTTCTCCCTTGCAGTCTGTCCATAATTTGCCCACAAAAATAAGGACAAACCAAACTAAAACTGCATTTGTGGTGTGATTGCATTTGAATACTGTTTCAGAAATATTCTTGTGTGGTGTTACCTCAGCTTAGTGATACCAAGTTTTTTTTTTTTTTTTTTTTTTTTTTTTTAAAAAAAGGAAACTAAACTGAGTAAAAAGATACAAACAAATCCAGGTAAGATCAATGGAACTTTGGGACCCTGATGGAATTATCTTCAGTCTATAGTATTTAGAAATCAGTGAAACAAATCTGAATTTTAGGATATTTTATGTCAGTGAGTTATTTAAAACTATTTAGGCTTAAGTGATTATGATAATAATGATGATTTACCCATGTGGGATACCAAGTTCTTTTTCCTAAGTCCCTGCTAGTTCTGTGCTTGGAGTTGGGGCCAATTTGAGATGAAATTCTTTTACAAAGCTGTCCTATATTAACTTCATCCTACAAATATGTTCTCTTGTACTGACTTCTTTTTGCTGTGAGGACAAAACCTACGACTACACCTTCAACCATTACTCTAAAACATCCTGTAGATGTATTTGTGTTTCCAGTGATGATCTTTATTTGTACATGTAGTCAATGATGAGAACGGGATTTTGCAGAGGAAGTTTTTCTACTACTTTTCAAAAAGAATGTTTTAGAAATAGCTCTCCTTGTGTCCTCCAGCATTAATCACCTTTGAAACCAAGCAGAAAAATAGAGATAGCTTGAGATTCAAATATTTGGTTTATTAGTTAAACATAGCTGCTTTATAGTGTGTAGAATGGAGTTCTAGAACTGGCTTTGTATTTGCTAGGTAAGAAACATGGGCAAGTCATTTTCATCTTCACTGAGCCTCAGTTTCTTTAGCTGTAAAATGGGGAGAGTAATAACTGCTTCAGAGGGATATGGTAAAGGTCAAAACAGATGGTCTAGGGCAAATGGTAATATTCTTAATGAATAGTAGCTTTTTATGCTATTACTGTTTTGAAAGTTGCTAATTTGTTGAAAAATAAAAATCAATTTCATAGAGCATTTCAAAAAGTGTTAGTATATTTATTAATCAAAGGCTTTTCACTCAACTTTGAGCTCCTATTTAGTGCAATGGACCCCTATTTTTACTTATGGGTTCATACTTCTCTTTTAATACTACTCTTTTAGAAATTACTTTGAAGGGTTTCACATAAGAAATTTTTGTATGCATTTAATTGAAAAATTAGTTTTTAAGCCTCTAAAATATTAACTCTGCTAATAAACTAAAAATAATAAGCAAATAAAAACATTATTACAGCACAAAGAGTAAATCTTCTTAAAGGTTTTGCAGAGATGTATATTGAACATAAAAAATGATAAAAGGAGCATAGGTGCACTTATAAATATGCAGAACTGTGGATTATTGTTTTCCATACTGTTTACAGTGCATTTAAGCACTCAATTGTAGGGTGTTTGCTTAGGCAGTACTATAATTTATCTCATCAAAGAGAAATTAGCTTTATCCCTTTTAAGACTATTTCAGAATTATTTCAAATAATGATAAAATATATTTGGTACATATCTATTACTTCAGCACTTCTGATATTCATTAGTAGGTTATTAAGGCAAATACAAATTATTTCAAGATCAATGGCCTATCAGATATAATAATATTTTCTAATATTAATAATAATGTCTTATTTATGCACTTACAGTGTGTAAGGTTTTTAATGTTTTTTTTTTCTTATTTAACTTATATAGTGACCTTGTGAAGCAGGCCGATATTATTTTTCTAATTGTACAGACATGAAGACTGAACATCAGAAGGAGTTTCACAGAGGGAATTAAGATGGGAAGGAACTTTTTTTTTTTTTTAAATCTGGAAGTTTTGACTATTAATAGGAGATTAAGGTTAAGGATTCAGACACTGCTTTTAAGGCAAATAGTAAGGAAACAAGAACGAGGATCAGTTATTGGGTATTGTAGACAAGTGCTAAGGTAGCTGTAAAGGAGAGAGGAGGTAAAAATGGGAGGTAGGATTCAGACTGGACTTTTGTCTAAGGATGGTGTGTTAGGTTTTTTGGTAACTAAATGGAAATGAGACCGCCAAGGCAAGCGAGGGTCCAAGAACAGATTTTATTGCAGGCACCCTCGGGCGAGGTTCCACGACTCATGGAGGGGAAGAGTGAGTCGGGGAAGTCGCACCAAGACAAGGTGGCAGGGGGTTTACATAACGTTGTAAGGCAGAACGGTTTCCTATTGGTCGGCTCATATGCAAAGGAAGGATGGCAATCCAACCAGTCAGAGTGACCCTCACTATGCAAAGGAAGGATTGCAATTCGGTCAGTCAAAGGTGACTTCCTCCTCTGGGGTTTGAAGGGCATTGGGTCTGGTTGGGTAAGTCCAAAGGAGAGGTCTAAGGGTCTGCGTCAAGCTGTCAGCAGGTCATTGGTCCATTGGTGTCCCAGGTGGAGGTGGTGACAGGAACCTCAGCCATTTGGGGTATCCGCCATCTTGAGGAGTTTCTCTTCCCGCCTGGCCCAACATGGTGGAGTTTAGATAAGGGAGAGGGGAAGAAAAGAGAGGCAGCAAAGGCACAGGAAGGTTAATGAGGGTAGGGAGCTTGCTAACAGGCATGCACATAGTTGGGGATACCCCAAGCAGGAGATCTTCTTGGTGCTGAGAATGGTGACAGATAAGGCTGGAGACTCTTCATTTAACGTTGATAGTGATGAGACTACACTTTGTCCTTCAGGCGTAAGGAAACTTTGGAGAACTCAAGTATAGGAGTAACTTGGTGAAGCAATTTTGTAGGATGATTAATCTGAATATGAAGGGCTGGGGTAGAAGGAACAGGAGAGGTGAGCGTTAGAAGGGGAGATCTATGTCCCTTTAGGAAATTACAACAGTAGTCCAAGGAGCACTTGATGGTAGTAGAGTTCGTGGCAAAAATATTAATTGTCTTTATTTCCTTTCTCTAATTGTCATGCACGTAAATGTCACACATTCATGTGCGGTTGTGTGAAAGTCTGACACGGTGATGATATGTAGTTGTATGGAAGTGTCACACAGACTTTTTGTAAGTGCCTGGAAAGAATTAAGTTTATTTATCTCCTTGTGACATCATTTAACACTCTCCATTGATGGGAGAAATGAAATGATCCCAACACGTTAAGCATTTTCAGGATGGAAACAAAGGCAATGGTTCATTCATCATGTGACCTCAGTGGCCAATGTCGTGGGTGTTTTTTCCAGGCATGTGGTGGCTGCATCATCTCCGTTGGGGGTCAGATTCCAAACAACTTGGCGGTCCCTCTGTACAAGAATGGTGTCAAGATCATGGGCACAAGCCCTCTGCAGATCGACAGGGCTGAGGATCGCTCCATCTTCTCAGCTGTCTTGGATGAGCTGAAGGTGGCTCAGGCACCCTGGAAAGCTGTTAACACTTTGGTAAGGAGAGAAACACAAATCTGTTTTTAACGGTCGCTTTTGAAGAGTTGTAACCTGAATGTTAACAACTGCAGATGCTAACTGCAGAGCAGAGAGAAGGCTCTTGTGCCTGGTGACTTTACTTTAAAGTTGGTCTATTTCCGTGACCGCAGTTGAATGCTGGTTATAAATTTGGTGAGAGTATTCTCATTAAGATTCGGACAATGAAAAACATTCAAACTAGTTTTGAGCTTGATTGATATTTACAATTAGAAACCAGGAATTTTATGTATTTCAATGTCCAATTTACATTTTAATGGTGTCTTTTGAGAGGAAGGGTGGAAAGAATTGTGTTACCATTTGTCCTAAAGATGCCTTTCTGCAGTTCTATTGAGTATTTCAAACTATTCATGCACTTTTTTGTTGTTGTTTCCATTCATTAGAATGAAGCTCTGGAATTTGCAAGCTCCGTGGGCTACCCCTGCTTGTTGAGACCTTCCTATGTTTTGAGGTAATATATTGTTTTCCCAAAGTAATGATTTCAAAATTAGGAGATGCAGAACTATGTGCTGTATGCTAATAGCATTTGGCTTTGTTGTGTAGTAACTTCTAAATCCATCCACAAATCCCAAGTCAACATGACAGATAGAGGATGTAAGCGTGGTCCTTCAGCATACTACTTTTCTGTCAGAGGGTGGCAATAAGTCTACAGTCCTACATCTTAGAAGCACAGCATAGGGCATCTCCTTGCCAGACTGAGGGAGGATAGTTTTACATTAGAGAAGAGAACAATTAAAAAAAAACCCAAAAGCATAAACCAAAACAAATCAAACTTGGGATTTTTCTCCTCAGTACCTGTTTTCTCGTCGGCAGACTTGGCAGCTTATCTCTGACTATTGTCAGCACCTTCTGATGGGGCCTCTAGTTTGAATTTTTGAGTTTTGAGATCACATTTTTTTTTTTGGAGATGAATTATAATGGTGAGGGACAGGGACAGTGAGGATCTTTTATATTAAACTTTGAAACAAAGTTCTATCATCAAAAGAGAAGTTGTGAATTATCACTTACTCTCTTCAGATGTTACCACATGTAAGACCGACTTCACTGAACAGGGGATAATAAGAGAAACACAATTTGCTGTGCACAATTTGAAAGTGTAAATGGAATTTGAGATGGGATCCTTTAAAATAATGAAAAATTTGAAATGAGGTGGAAAGCTTTTCTTTTTATTTAAATGACATTTTGTGTAAATCTCAGTCAAATAATACTTTTTTGAGGTATTAATGTAAGTTAATTTAAGCAACACACAGACATTTAGGGGAGGGTTGCAGAAAGCAGCTTGGAGTATTGTGCTTCCTTTCTCATCTCTGCAATCTGTCTCTTTAGGACAGATTTCTATCCTGTGAATTATCAATGTTATTGCCTTAGCCTTCCTGTCTTGAGTAGATGGAAATTAAAAGCTCTTTGTGCAAAAATTTGCAATAAAGTAGAAAAGGTAAAGAAAATGCTACTTTTAAAAAATATATATTTTATTTATTTATTCATGAGAGGCTGAGACATAGGCAGAGGGAGAAGCAGGTTCCCTGTGGGGAGCTCGATGCTGGACTCAATCCCAGGACCCTGAGATCACTATCTGAGCCAAAGGCAAATGCTCAACCACTGAGCCACCTAGGCACCCCAAGAAAATGCTACTTTTTAAAAAGAACTGGAAAGTAGTATTTTTCTTCCATATTTTTCCTTCCTCTTTCCTCCATCTTTCTTCTCTTCCTATTACACTTTGAAAATACCAAAATTCAGCATAAATTGACATAGGCATTCTTTCTCACATAATTAGTAAGAAGGACATAGTTGAATTCCTTACAGTCAGATACTGTACATTATATTTGCAAATGTTACTAAAAATTGTATTCTTTTGTAAGCTGGTTGGTAGTAAAATGACCTTTTTGGGCAATAGACCTGTGGGTTAAGATCAGCCATTGTCAATGACCTCCGAAGAAACAGGGTAAAATTAGCTAGATCCTAGGGTGCCTGGGTGGCTGAGTCGGTAAAGCATCCATCTCTTGGTTTTGGCTCAGGTCAAGATCTCAGGCTTATGATATAGAGCCCCGTATCAGGCTCCAAGCTCAGCATGGAGTCTGCTTGAGTCTCTCCCTCTGCCCCTCCCTGCATGCTCTCTCCCTTTTTCTCTCTCTCTCAAATAGATAAATCTTTAACAATAACAAAAAAAGGAATAGCTAGATCCTAGAATGAATCTTGTAAAGGTTTAAGAATTACGTGGAACCAGCAGAGTGAAAACATCAATTCCGAAAGGATACTTTGGGATACGGCTATTGCTACAGCTACATGGTTCTCTTTGGACATTATCACATCTCTCACCCCCAACTTGGGTGACTCTTTACTTTAGTTGATTGTTCTGGTGATTAAATGGAGTAATGACTCAATTTGGGAAAAAGCGTCTTAGTCCAGACTGAAACAGAGATTGCCTGGAACTGTTCTGAGAAGCAGTCAAGTCTAGCATGCTTTGCTCCCAAATTTGTGAAAGAAACTCACCTGTCCTTCTCTCCTTTCCAGTGGGTCAGCCATGAACGTGGTATTCTCCGAGGATGAAATGAAAAAATTCCTAGAGGAGGCCACTAGAGTGTCTCAGGTAGTGTCTGATTTCTTCTTGGTGACTTTTACTTTTGTTAATTTCTACTTTATTTCATATGTCTTTCTTTTCACACCATGTTAAGATGGTTTTCCCTTTTTTTTTTCACCACCCAGTAGTCTCCTATATGTGGGGATAAGAAAAGTCAAATGCATTTAATTGTGTTTAGATCCTTAGGGTTAGTGGAAGAAGAAGACCAGTGCATACTGATCACAACATTTATCTGGTTTTAGACTCCAGGAGTGTGTGAGACTGGATAAGCATCCTTGTCTGTTCATAACTTAGATGTTGATCAAGTTATCACTGGGTTCCCAGCCTCAAGGACTATCCAACCAAGCTAATCATGTATCAGTGAGAGCTTTCCTGGTTTCCAATTCTCACACTTGGAGAAACTTTACCTTAGTCAGCCCTGCAATTTTAATAGTAAACTCCTTTGCTCATATATTGATTTTTTTTTTTTACTTTGGACATTCCATTTGTCAATTAATAAAAATGTTTATAATTTTTTGGTGATTCAACTGCCTTCCTCCCTTGCCCTCAGTTTTTACTTTCTCCTTTATAGCCTCAGTGTGATCCATTTAGGATTTACCCAGTGGGGTTATTGATCTGTAGACCTTGTACTGTAAAGGATGAAAGTAATGTTTTCCTTTTAAAAGCTTTCAAAAGCTTGTTGGGTTTTTTTTTTAAGAGAGAGAGAGAGAGCACAATTCATAAAGAGAGGAGTTTGATGTTAGGCAAGTGGAATTGGAGGGAGCTGAAGAGTGAAGTCAGAAGCAGTTCAAAGAAAGAGCATGGACTGTTCCTGCTCATGAATCCAGGCATCCCTTCTGTATGGTGGTTACTCCCCAAGGACATCAGGTCAGTGAAGAGAGTAGATAAAGATAGAGGGTGAGGAAGACAAAGAATGCAAAAAAAGAAAACCAAGTAGATTTTGAATTCACTTCTGTATGAAAGTCAGATAGCTGAGGAGGGAATCTCTCCAGTGGGCCTATTTTCATTAATGTGCACTGGAGCAAGACACTGTCTTCTTCCTTTTTGAGAAGCCAGTAGTTAGACCCAGCTGGGCTCATGTAAATGAGGAGGCAGGTCTCCTCTCTTTTCTGCCTGGGACACTGCATCTCACAGGGCCTCTACTCATAGAATAGTTTTAAAACTATTTTTTTCTGCTAGCATATAGAAAGGATCCCTACTGGACTAAAGGTTTATAATGGGGATGTCCTGACTGAGTGCATTCTGATTCAATTCTCCCCTTCAAGCTATAGCAAAATCTGGTATTCCCCATTCGGTGAATCTAGAATAAAATCAACTCCCATCAATCATTCATCTTTTTATGTATTCACTCATGTTTAGCACCTGCTATATAATGGCATTGTTCTCAGTATCAGGGGCCACACTCATACAAAGAGAGATACAGTCTGCTCTCACAGAGGACTCTCTTTACTAAGGACATCAGGCTTCAAATAATTACAATAAAATATAATGAGCATTGCAATAAGAAAACACAGAATGCTGAGGGTGAGTGTACATGCACTGGAATGCACCCCTAAAGAAGGGCTTTTTAAAATTAATTTAAAATGGTTGATTTAGAATTAACTGGTTGAAAGGTTTACATTGTGGGTGTGAGTAGAAAGAAAGGACAGCACAGGTAAAGGTTCAAAGCTGACAGATAGCATGGAGTTTCTAGAAACTGATAAAGTATTTAGTATGTGGCTAGCACACTGCGCATGGGGGAGGAGTAGATAGAGTAGGCAGGGAACAGATAAAGAGAACTATGTCATTATAATGAGTTTGGGGCCAGACTGCATTCATGGAAAAAGGTTAGGGGCTCTTGCCAGAGCTCAGGATAGAGGTGACAGTACCTTGGAGCAGAGTAAAGATAGTAAAGATAAAAGCTAAGTACACATATTCTAGAAGTATTGAGAATGTTCATAGAAGGCAATTAGGGAGTGCATGGAGGTAGAAGGTAAAAGAGTATCTGAAAAGGATGACTCCTGAGCTGCTGCCTTGGACAGCTGGATGGATGGTGGTACCACTTATTAAAATCGGGAATACTGGAGAAGGAGAAATTTTAGGGAAGGAAATCATATACTTTATTTTTGACCTTTGCTTTAAAGTGCCTGTGAGGAATCCGAGTGGAGATGCTTCAAAAGCAGTGGGTTATACAAGGTCATGGCTAGCTCTAGACATGTACATAAAATTTTGGAATTAAGTAATGTATTGGTTTAGTCAAAGATTTGAGAATGGAAGTGATCATCAAGAAGAGAGCATAGAGGAAGAGGAATGACTAAGAGAGACAAGAGGGATACACATGTAAGGGCTAAATAGAGAAAATAGAACCATGAAGGAGCCTAACAAAGAAGGAAAAGGTAGTTTATAGATATCAAAGGAAGAAAGTGTCTTCAGAAGGCCAACAATTTATAATGTTGCAGAAAGATTGAAATTTATTAAGAAATCTTCTTTCTCATTATAGCCAGGACTATTTTAGAGATTTGTTCAAATGCCCAGCATGGTAGATGCTGTCTCATTGCCCCACTCAGATCCCTTTACCTGTGGAAGCACCTGTCCCTAACTGTAGTGATGGCTGATAACACTTACCAGCTTGTGCCTCTTCTCTGAGTAATTCTCAGTCATATGGAAGCTTCATCAACAAGGAGGCAAGATCTCTCACCTCAGCACCGCCCTTAAAATGCTAGATAGCAATTGACCTTTGCCTCCAAGTGGGACTTCCTCTGTGTTGCAATTCACCCTCCAGAGCCCCCTGTAGGTTAAGGCCAAGTCCAATTTCCACTGAGACCATGGATGTACTAGCTTTTTCCTGCTGCCCCATCCTGTTTTTCTGACTCTCTTTATAAATCACTTGAACAAGGATCCCTGTCTCAGAGTTGGCTAGAGAAGCTAAGACAGCTGGTAAACTTTATCTTTTTTTATTTGAAGTTATGCTATTATCATCAGAATATAGGGAGAAAATCCCATAGAGGTCTCAGTACAGCTCCAGTAAGCCTGCTGCAGTAAGCATCAAATATTTAAAGAAGACGGAACAGAGATGGAATCTTTTTTTTTTCTTGACTAATAAAGAGTTGCATGTCCAATGGGCTTTTGAAGAAAAGAAAGTATGGAAATTTGTCACATTTAATAGAAGAGAGAAGCTTATTTATGGCATAAGATATTGGTTCTTTTGAATTTTCCACAAAATTCCTTTCTACTTAAAGGATTCTATTAAAAGAGATAAGATATATTAAATTGAACACATATGCATGAGATGAACTCCATGATAGTGGCCAAGAGGGACTTGTTCAGAAAAGGAGATGTTTGGAGAACGCTTAGGGGAGGAGGTAGTATTTAAGCCAGGCCTTGAAGCATGAGTTGACATTTGAAAGAAGGAGCTAAGGAGAGATGGTGGAGTGCATTTGGGGAAGAGAGGCACGCAAACACCATGCTTTAGAAGTGGATTAAGGCATGTCAGCTCCAAGTAATGGATTCCATCTTTGACCTAACCAAACTGGAACAAAATGAGATTCTCCTCCTAAATTCCCTCACAATCTCCTGGAGAGAACTGATTTAGGAAATTGCAGTGCTTGGAAAGATGAATGTAAGAAGAGAAAAAGAACTTGAACCAAGAAAAATATACAATTGTAAACAAATAAAATAGAGAGATGGTCATGACTCTGGGAACAGATAAAGGGACCCCCCCCCATTCGGCCCTCTCCGTAGCCCCTCTTTCCTCTCACTCACTGAAATGTCTATATTTGAAATTTCAGCACTGATGTTCAGTTGATGGAGTACTCACATTTGAAGAAAGACCCTCTGCCTCATGGAAAGCAGAGAATGACCTTGTTTTTACCAAATGAAAGAAAAAATTGGCTAATGAGTCTGTGTAGTGTGTTTAGCATTAAGATCTTTACAAATATTACCCTGGGATTTACTTAAATATACAATTTTTACTTGACACTCTACACACAATGTCTGCCCTTGTGTTTTCCTTGGTGACAGGAACACCCAGTGGTGCTGACAAAATTTATCGAAGGGGCCCGGGAAGTAGAAATGGATGCTGTTGGCAAAGATGGAAGAGTAAGTGCTTTATCACCATATCCCAGATCCCTGCCATCCCATCAAGTTTCTTTGTTGTTGTTGTTCTTTGAAACAACACAGATTAAAGGTCATGATTTCTATAAAACAGGTCTCTAAAAATAGTGGATGAGTTGCTCAGTGCAAAAAAAATTTCAAATTCACTGACAATTTAGTTGATGTGTCATGGGCATCATATATCCTGTGTTTCATACTGTTAGAATTTCTCTTTGATGATATTCAAAATTAATTATCGTCCTGTACTCATCATTCTTTTTGAATAGACTTTTCTCTCTCATTTTCTTTTGTCTGTGGGTTTCCTTTTATGTTTCAATGGGTATTATAAAAACATCCAATACTTTTCTTTCTGAAGTTCCTAATTGAATCCCTAGTTTTTCTCCTCTCTTGATTTCCCAGCCTCCACCTTTTTATTGCGTTAATAAAGACAAAACTAAACAGAGTAGGGTGGATAAGGATAATAACATAAAATTAGCTCACCACATCACATCTTGTATTGCTAGTACGACGAATGCTTCCAACTTCAGGGAGAAATGAAAATGTGAAGAGTACTTTCCTTTAGTTTGCTAGTTGTACTAATAAGGCATTTATGATTTATCTTGAAATATAAGAAGTTATGTTTTAGAGAGTCCATGTCATTTTATTTGCTTTAATGAAAAGTTTTAAAAATCGTCCTTCATTTTCTACTTGGTAGATACTTTTAAAACACTACTGAAAATGTTTAATCTTTTTAGCTTTTTGGCTTCCAGATTAACAGTTCAAAGTAGTCTTTATATCTGTACACACACACAGCAGTGATGACTTTTTACTAGAGTCATATCATCCTGAGTTTAAGTACCCTTAGAAATCACTTATTTCAACCCCACATCCTGAAGGATGAGAATTTTCATGCCCAGAAAGTTGTCACCTGTTTTCTGTTTAACAACTTTGGTTACAGACAGCACAGAAAGTTGTCAGGTTGAAAGATGTCATATATATATATGGATATCTCATTTATTCCTTCTTTTGAAATAAAGTCTGTTTCCCTAGAATTTTTTCATTCCTCACCTTCTGGCCTCCAGAATTGTAGAGCATATGTTTAATCTTTCTTCCTTTTCAACATTTTAAGTATTTGAGACTGAGGTATAAAATGAGAGGGATGTGATCATACCAATGTCAAAGTGGAGAATGTAAAACTGGCCTAGAGACATTTGTGGTTTTGTTTTTTTTTTTTTTTTTATATAATGCCTGTCCGTTGGCCTGATTTGGCTCCAGCTTGCTAGGATATGCTCTTAATCTAAGCTTCTCTCAGAAATCAACATTGCTTATCATCCTGGACTCCTTCTTTTGGAAATGTTCCAGGTTATTCACATAATTTTTAAATAGTCACACTCAGAAATGGACATAGTACTTCAACTATATTATGATTTTTTTTCAGAGCTCAGTGGGAGTATTGCCTCCCCATTCCTAGACAGATTTGAGCATTTACTATGCACTAAATATTGGGTCAGACATTGGGTATGTGTTCTCTTTTATCCTTACAAACAAAGATACCATTGTTAGTACTGCCTTACCAGAAACCACGGCTGGATAGATAAAATACCTTGCCCAGGTCACAGAGCTCGAAAGTGACAGCAGGAGACTCAAATGTCACTCTGCTTTAAGCCATTTATAAATCTGATTAACAAATCATTTCTGTAATTTGTTTAAGTCTTTTGCGGTTACCCAATTATTCTCCCCCACTGTGAGCTTTTTATTTCCCAACGACACACATACTGTTAACATTCAGGTTATGATGATTGAGACCATAAACTTTGGAATGTGACAGGTAAGGGTTTCAAATCTGACTTGGCCATACAGTAGTCACATGCACTTGGGTTATTTCTTCTTATCTTGCCTTAGTTTCCTTACCTGTAAGAGAAGAGAAAGATATGTTATTCTTGCTTCCTTTCTTTCTCAAATTTCAATTAAAAAATTTCTTGCTCAAAAAAAAAAAATTTCTTGCTCTGGATCTTAAGTCTTCTATCTGGTCCACCTAAGTTATACATACCCCTTGCTAGGCATTACCCCCTCCTAACTTTTCTTTTCCAGTGTCTAAAACCTAACCTGGAAGGAAAAGATAAAGATTGCTCTGGTTTCTCCCAAATGCTTTAGTTTCCTATTCATTCCTAAAAGTCAACATAGTTCAGTTGTTCTCTTTTCCTATGATTTGTCCCCATTCTAATCAATGGAGGAGGGAGGTCAGTGCAGCCACTGTCCACTGCCCCAGAGGCAGTCTGTCACTGCACAGGGAGATGGTGAAGTCTACACGCCTGCACAGCTCTTTGTACTCCTCTCGTCAAGGACTCCATAAAGTAACTTGACAGTGTTCCAGGCATCTGTTAGAATTGGGGCAGGGAAAGAGACAGGACAGGGAAGCAGTAGCTTCATCGAAGTAGGTGCCTGACAACTCTTTCTAAAATCTTCTTTTGGCCAGGTTATCTCCCATGCCATTTCTGAACATGTGGAAGATGCAGGTGTTCACTCAGGAGATGCTACTCTGATGCTGCCCACACAAACCATCAGCCAAGGAGCCATTGAAAAGGTCATCATTTATCAATAAAAGTGAAAGGGGGAAAAGTAAAAAAAAATATATATATTTTTTAACTAGGTACCAAAGTAGGTCATAGCTCAGGTGAAATGTAAGTATGAGGCGAACTTTCTTTCTCTGCGTCTGCTGGGTATTTTAGAGATAACGATTTCCTTCCTGCCCTTTTGAGCCCACTTGGCTGTATGCGAGTGTGGTGGTTCTTGAACCTCAGTATGGAACCTCAGGTTGCCATAACAACCTAGGGAACTTGCTAATATACAGATTGCTGGACTCTATCCCCAGCTTCTGATTTAGTAATTCTGAGCAGCGCCCTCAAATTTGTATTTTTAACAAGTCCCTCAGTGATTCTGTTGTTATTGGTGTTGGTCTGGGGACCCCCCTTTGAAGAACACTGCTACAGATGATTCTAATGTTTGGGGGCCACTCAAGTGCGCTGCATTTAAAGTTATGCTTCTCAATTAGAAGCAGGTGTGCAGCAGTCACGTAGGAACCTTCTGGAACCTATAGTTTTCACTCTCACCCTTACCCTCATCTCAAACCAGCACATCCTAATGTGTTGCTTTCAACCTCTTCTTTGGAGTCATTGCTTTAAAGATCTTCCCGAGAATGATGCCTCAGTACTCAATATGCGCTGCTAGGTGGTCTCAGAGACCATCATCTTAAATAATTCATGTTAATGTTCCTTTACTCTTTAGGTATGTTAGGTCAGGCTTGGCTTTTTTGGTGAGCCTTACCAATATCCTGCCATCAGAATCTAGGTAGGACTGTCTGGCTAACTGGACACTGAGCTGGATTCTGAAGATCATTACACCAGCTGCCTAAGTGAACAACATCCCTGGATTTCAAGCGTGTTTTAGTTTATCATATCAGTACAAATAATGTCAAGAACTCAGATTTTTCCAAACCTTGCAGAGTTTGATGTGCCATGGACTCTACTGCCTTTTACAACCAGTTAAGTTGCTGAATCACTCTTATAAAATAAGAATGAGGAGCTCTGGTTTCTTGCTGTCCACGGCCCCTCATTGCATGGATACCTTCCGGCTCTGGTTGGATATAAGGATTTGTATATGTGACACGCAGAGCCTCCCTGCAAGGAAATATAATTTCTTTCTGACAATAATATCTACCCATGTAGAGTCCAGGGCAGCAGAAAAACACATCAAAGAAATCTTTCTGGTCTCTTTGCAGTGCCAGGTAATATCAGGGCCTGCTCTTCTGAGCAGGTAGGTCATGAGACTGACAGGAAGTTTGGACTGGAGTTTCTGATGCTGAAGCAACTAGACTGAAAGAATTCCATTTAGTCCTCAAAGTAAAAACCAGTATATACAGAGGCAGATAGATAGGGACGTTTGGCAGAAAAGTAATTGTGTACAATTATTTGTTCTTTTCTTTGCTAGTCTATTGTGAATACTTAGTACATATTATTATTTTGTTGGTAGATGCCTACTAGTGGCTTCTATTATTATTATTATTATTATTGCCATTATGACTGCTATTATTATGGAAGTGTAGTTCTCTGTAAAGAGAAATTAAAGAAATCTAAGTAATAGGTGTTTTCTAACCAAGGTATGCTCTTTAGCACTATATCATTGTCCTTTTGATCTAGGTGAAAGATGCTACCCGAAAGATTGCAAAGGCTTTTGCCATCTCCGGCCCATTCAACGTCCAGTTTCTTGTCAAAGGAAACGATGTCTTGGTAAGAAATGCCAAGGTGCTTGAGAGGACACCACTGCTGTGTTTGGTTATGTTGATTTGTGTCTTTCTGGTGATCTTGTCTGTGAGCACAGACAGAGCAGCTGAAACTCCTACAGCTGTTCATGTCTGAGGGTAGGTTGTTGTACAGCATAGAAAGCCTGCCTTGTTTGAAGGCAGAGGCCCTTGGTGACACTAATATATATGTCATAGTTCTGCAAAGCTCTCTGATCCACTGGAAAGAGGATCACTGTCTGCCATCTGGTATAGTACAGATGGACACAGTGACTATCATAAAGTAATCTGAATATGTTGAATAATCATAAATTGTATACACTGAAGTTTTAGATACTATTTATATACAAAAAATTGTTAAATCAAGTAGACTAGTCTTAATTAATTGAGTCTATTTAATGTAACCAATCAGTAATTAGTATTGGTTCAGCATCTACTATGTGAAATCATATGGTGGCAACAAAGATGTATACACAACAATCTTTGCTCTCAAAGAGATTCAGTTTGGTGAGGACTGGGAAGATGACTTTGTAGACACCTATAACATACGTTAGAATATAATAGCTGCTGGACGGAATGTACAAATACATCGTACTGGAGTCATAGAACAGAGAGAGCAAATCTGCTAGCCTGTGTCTGTGTGTGTGTGTGTGAACACACATACACGCACACGTGTGTGCCTGAACACATACTTGAATATCATATACCTGGTTTGGGGTGGCTTTCAAGGGAGATTTTGAATTTTAAGCTGGGTCTTAAGAATGACTGGAATTTTGACAAGTAAAGGAAGGGAGAGAGGACATTGTATTTACATAGAACATCTAAGAGAAAATTTGGCATATTTTAGGAGTTAATGACCAATTCAGTTTAGCAAGATCATTTTTCTAGGGAAATAGTGGAAGGTAAAGTTGGAAAGTAAAATTGGGATTAGGGAAACGGTATAAGATAACATAGACATATTGAGGCAAGAGAATAGAAAGCCTTAAAGTACTAGACTTTAATCTGATGGCCAGTGGAAACCCACTGAAGGTTTTTCAGTAGGGATGTGGCATTATCTGAGTTCTGCATTAAGATCTATCAGCAGTGTTTGGGGATGAAATTGTGGGAAATGGATGGAAAAAAGTCAGAATTCAACAATACTGACTAATAAGAAACTGGTTAGCAAATGTGTAAGCAGTGGGAGGGGAAGCAAGACGCCAGCAAAAGAGCCAGTCCTGGGGAAAAACAGCTAGAACCCCAGGAAAGGGAGGATATTAGTATGTTGTCATTTGGCTCTCACCATCTCTTGTCTTTTTTTTTTTTTTTTTTTTGGATTTTGTTATCTATCCAGGTGATTGAGTGTAACCTGAGAGCTTCTCGATCCTTCCCCTTTGTTTCCAAGACACTGGGGGTAGACTTCATTGATGTGGCCACCAAGGTGATGATTGGAGAGAGCATTGATGAGAAACCTCTTCCCACATTGGACCATCCCATAATTCCTGCTGACTATGTTGCAATTAAGGTAACATTAAAAAAAAAATCTATTAGCCATTTTTTTTAAGTTTCAAGGAAATTAAAGGAATAATTTTTCATCAAAAATAATTTTGAGGGGTACCTGGCTGGCTCAGTCAGTGGTAGAGAATGTGACTCTTGATCTGGGGGTCATGAGTTCAAGCCCCATGTTTGGTGTAGAGCTTACTTAGAAAAACTTTTTTAAAAAGTAAAAAAAAGGCCGCCCCAGGTGGTTTAGCAGTTTAGTGCCGCCTTCAGCCCAGGGCGTGATCCTGGGGGCCTGAGATCCCACATCAGGCTCCCTGCATGGATCCTGCTTCTCCCTCTGCCTGTGTCTCTGCCCCCCTCTCTTTCTCTCTCTGTGTCTCTCATGAATAAATAAATTTAAAAACATTTTTTTTAAAGTTACTTTATAAACCTTTTAACTAAAATGCTGGACTACGGATTTTTGATGTTTCCTTTGAATAGTGCACACAGGTAACAGGTTAACTTTATATGAACTTTCATCTCTTTCAAAAATAACAAAAAAATCATTTAGAATTACATAACTTCAAAACCAACTAGCTGAGTAAATTATAAACGATGTTAATGCAGCTGATTCATGGTGGTGTCAGTTTAGTTGGTAAACAGAAATTCTGGACATACTTTGTTAGGATAAGGCTTGAGTTGTGCCCCTTTTGAATTATGCCAAGACGTCAGGAATGCCTGGATCTTATAAAAGTGTTACCCTGTGGTGTCGGTTAAATTCTAACCTACCTTGGCCACCTTGCCTCATTCTTATTTTATTCAGCAACACAATTTTTCCACTTGCAAAGTTGAAATAGCAGTTACCATTCATGGTGGTGCCACGAAGGTAATGAAACTGATGGCATCTTTATGAGGGTTGACCAAAAAGGTTTAAGATTTGCTCACTAATTTCCAATATGTATGTATATTTCTCATAATACCTTAATAATAAAACCATTGTGCTCCTCCAGCTGCCTCAGTATGTCCATGCACAGAGTATGTATATTTATGACCTTTAACTACTTCACGGGGCAAGCATGAGGATTAGTGAGATACCATATAAATATGTTTGAATATTTTAGAAAAAACATACAACGGAATCAATTTATATTGTGTGATGTATTTATGCAACATTTACTTATTTTGGATGCCTTCAAACGATTTCCATTCCTATAGGTACTAGTGATCTCAAACATAACTGTGTTATAGCTGAGACTCTGACTTCTGACTTTTACAGTGGAAGCTTTAATAAGCTGAAGCTACAAATCAAAAAGTATTTATTAATCTTATTTAACTTAATAATTTAGGATGACTTGATTTTGTAGTGCGTTGCAATGGAATGTCACTTGTTATATTAGGGAAGGGTGGCAGTTTATTCCTGGAGACTATAATACAGCATAGATTGTTAAAGTTTTCAGTGAGAATTATTCATAGGTAAAAATACATAGGATTTTTTTGTTGTTGTTTGAGACCAATAGTAGAAGGCTCTGACAAATATTTCCACTGGATATTCCCTATATAAATTTCCAATTCATGTTTCTTAATTCATAGATGCAGAAATATACACACATACATATGTATAGGAAACAATATCCAACTAAAAACAATATTGATGGATAGATATTCATTTTTCAACATGCACTGTATCTTCCAGTTTACTTCCTTCCTAGTTACCATTGTATATGATTCTTGACTTTTTAAAAAAGAATTACTTATTTCTACTCATTCTTAACATAGGACTAGTGAGGTGGGTAGATGTCCATAGATGAGGGTACAGAAAAGATGGAGTGCAGAAATGTATAATAACTTGACTAAGAATGACCCCTAGCTAGAACTCCCAGGATAACTTAGGAGGGTACCAGAATCAAAGGAAGAATGGTCCACACCAGACAAACGGATAGAGATGCAAGAAATAAGGATTTGGTTCTTAGTGAATTGCACTGATAAAATAAATGAAAAAGAAACACTCCTATCTATGTTCTAGTTCACATGAAAGTTCTGGGCAAAAGTGTTCCCAAGCAGAATGTTTTTCAAAGCATTTTAAGAGGTGTCAACAACAGTTTAATGTCTCAGAAGTCAGCTTTCAGACAGACATTTCTGGCATGGTTGCCTGTTGCAAGTTCAAATGATCAGAAAAAGAAGAGGAATGTTTCAAAGGCCTACCAAGAAAAAAATGTGTTTGAACTCAGTGTTTGGGGAGACCAATGCCCAGTAGACTTTGTTTGAAATCACTCCAGTAAGAATATGTGTAGGCCAGATTAGAAACACTGGCCTAGACTGGTCACAGGGGCCCTATTTACAGAAATAATTTGTGATTATTTAACCCATGATTTTGGCCAAGAGCTCAAGAAATTCTTGGAACAGGGTTTTAAAGCTATTTTTCAAGTCAGATGCTTGGACCAAAGAGATTTTTTATGTGTCTACCATAGCCTAAATGAATCCTGTGAGAGATGATTCACTAAATATATTTATCCTCTCCTATTCCTTTTATACCTTTCTCTCACATATTTTTCCTCCCCATTATTTCTGACAGGCTCCAATGTTTTCCTGGCCCCGGTTGAGGGATGCTGACCCCATTCTGCGATGTGAGATGGCTTCCACTGGAGAGGTAACTAGTTAATGACCCATGAACACTTTCATTAAACCTACTTTGAAATCTATGGTTTTATGATCTGAGTATAATACAGTAAGTAAGTTACTAAGTATTAAGGGGACAGAAACTTCTGTTATCAGAGTAGGTCTGAAAGGGCTTAAGAATTTTGAACTAAAGAAGAATCTTAGACCTCTGTGGACCAGAGTCTAAATTTTGACTTATATTTAATTTGTGAATATAATATATGTGTTCCTAATTCATTTCCACATTACACATTGAGAACAGCTTCCAAATATCTCTTTAGATGTCTAAGTAAATATCTCCTGGGTCTTTCTGTTTTAAATTTTAAGGTCTTTCTATAATGGCACTTCCCACCCCCAGCCTCCTCATCTGCTTGCTGCTATGAAATTAGATCATTGGATTTTTACTAGCAGTATGTAGAATGACTGTACAGCATTAGAAAGATCATGGACCTAAACAGTGTGGAATCGGTAGATAAATGCAAAATCCCCAAACAACTTTCAAAGCAGCTTGAATCTCCTGGGGACTATCTAAAAACCTATAATGGAATTGGCCACTGGATGTCCCTCTTCACTTGTGTTGGGATGCTTGTCAGCTGAAGGTTTCTTTAAGAATGTGAACTGTGTTTCTTGTAGAGAGCTGTCAGATTCTAGAAAGTTCCCTACATGTCAGTGTCAGGGCATTTTATGAATCACCTAGCCCTTGACAGACTTACTAGATACAACCTTCAGATTCTCATCAGTGCACATCAGAGTGGCAACATCAGACTGTGAGGCATCATTGTTTCCTCCTGCTATTAAGGAACACCTGAAAAGGGAAAATATTTAATTACAATAAATACGTGACGTTTTATGTGGTTGCCTGGTTACAAGCAACATCTGTGATGAGAAGTTAAGTGAGACAGGAAGGCAGGCAGTGAGGAATAAATGGCTATCTTGTTTGTATTTGGACTGGAGATTGCCTTATCTTAGCTCCTTTGCTGCTGCTTTTAATTTAATAGGTGAGAAAACCCAGCTCTAAAACGAGGGGCCTGCATTACAGTTCTCCGCTGTTTAAGGAGATACTCTTCAGGTTCATCTGGATCCCATGGTCACCGGGTAGCAGGCGTGTTTACAGCAGATCCAGGATTCAGATCAGGGAGAGATGTTTTTCTTTGTGCTGCTTTCTCTAGTGTGGGAAACTTATTTTCAGTGCCTCTGTCCATTCTGCTTCCAGACATACATTATTGGAGTTGCTGAACTATGAAAATATGAAAGAATTAGAAGCTCAGCTCACCTTTGTTCTTATCTATTTGAGAAATATAGAGATAATTCTTCTTCCATTATTAGAGTCATACTTCCAGGTGTCACTGGGTGTGATGCTACAAGGCCTGATTTCATAACTGAAATCAGAATAATAATTCTAGCTTAGTGAGATCTTAGTTATGCTTCAAAGAGACATTTTCAGTGTTCAAATGGCTTGTTGAGGGATTAAATTAACCTTTACCTCTTGATCTAGGTAAGGGGTATTTTATTCTCTTAGTGGCAAGGTGGGAATGTTAGTCCAAAGCTTACTTGAATATCGGACTGATTTCTATGTATTTTGTAGAAACCTGACTGTTCTCTATGTATTTTGCTGAAACCTGTGTATTGTTGTGTCTGCTTTTATGATGAAATTGCCTCGTCCTGTCGATAGAATTTGGGTCTCATTAACTGAGGGTGACATGACTTAAGCTAGTTGGCCAGTAATTGGCCAAAGATAGTGTTCGCTGTAGAGGGAAAAGCAACATGGACTGGGGGTTGGCTGAAGGTCACAGTTATGAGAACATCCCTTTTACAATATGGGAGTCATTTGCTTAAAGAATGAATTTAGCCATCAGTGTTATTTACTATAATGGTGGTTCTGTACCTGTGCCAAATGATGATATGTATGGCCAGATCTATTCCCATCATGCTCAAATATACCACTTGTTCTACCGTTATGGTGGCCATTTTTGACTTGTAGTCATATAGCAGCACAATTACCCGAGATGAAACTTCTGTGTATCCTGACATTATACATTAGTTTGGATTTTTGTTTTGTTTTGTTTTGTTTTGTTTGTTTGTTTACATCTGGCTGTGGTATTTAGAACTAGTAGCAGGGTGTTTCCGTTCATTTTATGAAAATGATTTTTTTTAAAAAGGTCCTTTGAGATTTTCCTGGATTTATTGAATTTCTCAGAAGGCTTTCTCATAAGCCGTATGAAATGACTCCTAACCAATTGATCAGCAGTTATGCATTTGTGCTACTGACCCATGAATTCATGCACTGTGGCATTGCATACATAATATACTCTGTTATTTAAACATTAAGTCATATTAACATTTGGTAACTTACCACATTATGGACCAGGCACTATGATTTGTATCCAAATAACTCACAGTAGAATCCAGTTATGTTACTCCATGGAGTGTTGTTGGAGAGAGAAAGAATTGCTTATTCATTCATTATGCTTAATTAAAAACATAAGATACATCTGCCCTGGCAAGCTTTTTAATTCCAGAATTCAGACTGCATGGTCTTTGGGCAAGTCAATAAAATCTAGCAAAGGGCTCTACGAGTAAAGTGTTTTCCATTTGTATTTATTTATTGGTAAGAGCTGTTGACTAGGATTTGCTTTCCTTTTATTTTATTTTTTAATTTATTCTAAACAGGTGGCTTGCTTTGGTGAAGGCATTCATACAGCTTTCCTAAAGGCAATGCTTTCTACAGGGTTTAAGATACCCCAGAAGGGCATCCTGATTGGAATCCAGGTAAGTGGTGTGTGGTTGTGTGCATGCCCTTGGGCACATGCTAGGAGTGGCTGGGAAAGGACCTTAATTGTGGAATAAAAGAGGAGAGATCTTAAGTCCACTAAAGAAAACAGCAACTAATAGAAAAAATGGACACTTGTTCTCTATATCTTCCCTGTGTTTTGCCTTTTTCCATTGCAGCAATCAATACAAATAAGTGCCTAAATAAAATGAACAGAAAGAAAATGTCTCTAGTAAAAAGGGTATTTGTTCTGAAAAGGACTTAGGATGCCTTAAACAGGAATCTCTTCTATTCCTTGGTTCTATCTTTTCTATATGTTCTGCTCTTCGTTCTTCATCCTTAGCTTTCTGTAAAGTGGGAGTCTCACCTCTTCCTTCTCTCTGTCTCTGTCTCTGTCTCTATTTCTTGACTTTCTCCTTTGCCATCTCATGACTGTAGTATTCACTGTCCTATCCATAACTTTCACCTTTAAATCTTCATTCTCGGTCATCCCCTATTTTCAACTATCTTCTGGATACCCCTTTCTGGACGTCTCAAGCCCAACACATCCCAAGCTGAAGCTATGTTATCCCTTCCTGACCTCTGTTCCTTTCTTCCTTATAGTCATTCATTCACATTTCAATTTCTGCTATAGATCATCCACAACTTATGGTGGGGTCATGTCTCAATACACCCATCATAAATTGAAAATGTCAGAAAGTCAAAAATGAGTTTAATATACTGACCCTCCTGAGCTTAGTATGGTTTACTTTAAGTGTTCTCAGAACACTTTATGTGAGCCTACAATGGGGCAAAATCATCTAACACAAAGCCTGTTTGTAATAAAGGATTGCATATCTCACGTAATTTGTTGAATACTATATTAAAAGTGAAAAGCAGAATGGTTGTTAGGTGTATGGGTTGGTTATCCTCATGGTTGTGTGGCTGACTAGGAGCTGCTGCCACCCACATCATCAGAGAGTGTCCTATACTGCTACTTGCTAGCCTGGGAAAAGATCAAAATTCAAAATTCAAAGTATGGTTGGTACCAAATGTGTATTGCTTTCACTATTGCAAAGTTGGACCTTTTTAAGTCAAGGACCATTTGTAAATGTCAAAGATCCAAAGCCGAAGAAGACATGGACATTATTTGAGGGATTTTTCTCACTCCATGACTGATTGAAAGTTCTTGAAGGGAAGTAGCTTAATGGGCTTTAGAAAGTTAGCAGAGCCCACAATATACTGGGGAGGTTCTTGAATTTTATTATTTGGTTAAGTCTTCTGAGTCAAAGCAGGGTGAAATAATTATAAATAATTATAAGACAATATCTTTATACAATGAAAAGGCCATTATTGGTGTATTTTTGCAAATCAAATGGAAATCTCAGGGAAAAATGATAGCCAAGAAACTTCGATTACTCCTTGTAATAATTATTGCAAGAATGTACAGACTGTTCTGTTTATAAATTTTCCTGAAAAATACTAAATGCTTCCCACCTGGTCATTCACTTACATTTAAGGTTAGGAATTCTTGGGTCCTATAAAAACAATAGATGGTCACCCCTGCTGTACTTTTAATAAGCCCAAACCCTGCATGGTTACAAAAAAATCAATAAAAATATAATTAGAGCAGTACCAGGTATTCTCAAGCCAGTGGGTGATTATTATAGATACCATCTCATTAGGGTGTCTTAATATCAGCAAATTAGACTGGAGACTAGATCGGTAGTGGCTCTGGAGAAGTTTCTGCAAAGATCAACTTGGAATTCTGCTTTATAAAGGTGCCAAAAGGGAGATGGAGAACAGTTAGAGCAGAGGCTAACAAGATGACTTGCAATCGTCAAGCTTAATGGCAGGTTGGAGACACATCACACCATATGAGAGACTCATCATGTTATAAATGAGTATTAAGTATTATTAAGTCACAAGTATGAGAGTATTTGCCCAACTTCCAGTGATGGCTTAAAGTTTAATGTGAGACCTGGGGGCATTCAGAGGAGACCATGCCCTTAGTCCCCGTCTTCACAACTAATCATAATAGTGCTAACATTTTAAAATACCAGTTTAAGAGGCAGTGATGTATAAAATTGTGCCTTGTTTGGTTCTAGTGCCGCAGGGAAATATTAAGCAAAAATTAATTCGATCCCTATAAAATATTTGTATGATTTTGGCATCAGTGAACAGAATTTTTTGCTTTATAGGTGAAAAAAAAAAGAGGGTTTTGTAGGGTAAAAAGAATTTTCTTAAAGGAATGAGGTTCTTCTGCCCAAAGAACTTTTTTCTTGCAAGTGCACAATGTTAGGGCTTTAGATATGTATCTATTTTAATTAAAGAGTTTTAAAAGCATATTTAAAGAAACGTTTATTGTAAAGTTGTATTTAATACAGTATTTGTAGCGGTGGTAAAATTGATCAGTGGGAGATAGGTAAGAGTCACTCTCTGACCTACTCTATGTGGGCGGCAAGGAAGAGCTGCCAGGGGCAGCAGTTCATATACAGCCTTTCTGTTACCATCTGGGGGATTTTCATGGAGAGTGATTTTTAAAAATGTAACATCATAAATTTAACTGAACAATATGACAGGATATACTAACCAGAGCATTAATGGCTAGAAATATCACTGGGTGTCTTAGCATGGGACCAAATCTAACCTCCTCCTTTTACCCAAACTTCATAGAAACTGTGAATAAAGTAATTAAGTTTCCACATTTCAGGATGCATTGTATTTTTTTTAATCATTCTATTTAATGTGATTCTGCATGGTCAGAATAATTCATATGGACTTGTTCAAATATATAAAGTCAGAACTGAGAAGGACCTAAAAAAAATACTGCTGACATACAAATGGGCATGAGGGCCAGTAAATACGAAGGAACACATCCAGTTGAGTTATCGAGTGAAGTTCTAAGAAAGAAATCCACAACTGCATTTTGACTTAAGATAATCATTCATTTAGCCTGATGCTGTAGAGACTTAACTCGGAGAAGAGCACCGGTAGCCAGCACCACTGCAGTTAATTTGCTTTATTATTCCTTCATGGAGAAGTGAGGAAGATAGTACCTGTCCCATTTATTTGAGGGAAAGGCCTTTTTGTTTTATCTCCCCACCTTGACCCAGCTTCCCGCTATGAACCTGAGGATTTAATTGAAGATACCTTCACTCATTAATGTTCACAATAGGTTGCAAGAGAAAATTGGGAGAAAAGAGAAATTATGGAGAGAGAGGTAAAAGTGACCCTGAGCCAGGAAACATTTTTTTCTTATTTTTGATAGTTTAACACATATTTATAATAGTAATTTCTTACTAGCAAGTATCAGCCACTTCTCAGCATTTAGTAAATAGTGTGTGTGTGTGGGGGGGGCACACATGCTAATTTGTGATACTGCAGTCTTCCTAGCCTCTTATTTCTCTTCTCTTTCCCATCCTATTCCTTTATACACAGCGCCTCTGCTTCTGCCCTCCCAGAGTTAAATCCTATGGGACAAATTACCCAAGGAATTTGAAATAGTCATAACATCAATTGTGTATAACGAGAACTTAGAAGGGAAAAATCAAGATTTAGATTTTGTCAAAGGATTCTTGTCAACTATTACATGCACTAAGTCTCTTAACACGAGGCTTTCTATAGGCTCACATCCTAACATAAGAAAGGCATAATGTAGATTTTATGGCAACAAAATCATCTTTGATTTTCCTGCAATATTTCCAGCTTCCTTTCATCCCATCAGGATTTATTTTTAGGTGCTATGAGTAGGCAATCTGCCTTATTTTGAAGTTTTCTGGAACACCCTTTAACAATAAATGATTTACTCTAGAGTAGATCAAGAGCACTCACTGTTTTTTCCCCTCTGATTGGGCTATTCAGTGATGTTTGTGGAGTGGCGAGCACCATCCTGACATCTGCGCTTCAGCATTGCTCGGAAACACAAAGCAAGCATTTTATTTGAAAAATACAACTCCAAGTGACATGAATAACCTTTTATCTTCAATACAGAATTATTAGGAACAACCATAGAGTTGTCGATGCAGACGTCCCTATAGAGTCCACAGGCACCACACAGTATTAACTTGGCTTTCTGTTCTGGAGCCAGAAGTTGGATTAATGTGAAAGTGATAATTGGAGGAAATATATATATATATTTTCATTTTTAAAGGACTTTCCTTCTTATAAACATTTTCCAGGAAATAAATCAGCTTGTACTTTTCACCTTTAGTAACAAATGGTTTCTTACCCAGGTATTTTCAATCAGCTATTAAATCTGGGGCTACTCAGATACAAGCTGACAGCTGTAATTTCTTTTTGTAGAGAGGCTGTTTTATGTGTCACAAGTGTTCAATACATGTTTGATAGAAGTTTATAATGTGGCTATGAAAGCCAACACCCCAGACCAGAAGGCAGAGTGGTTCCCTGGCTGGGAACTGCCAATACTGTCATGTCGGATATTTATCTTTTCCACTTGGGGGACAGCATTGAAACAGCTCCATAATGAGGTTCTGACTGGTGTCTGCGGGTCTTAGAGGACTTGCTGACTTATTTTACTTTAAAATAGCAAAGAAAAAAAATTACATTCTGGTACTCCTTCCTTAACATTTTTCATTGTGACTTTGGCCAAGGTGAATGCATCTTCACCTTAAATTATAAGATGAGTGAAGGATTGTTCCCCTATTCCCTCTTCCCTCCTACCCCTAAACTTAAGTGTGCATCAGAATCACCTGGAGGGTTTATTAAAATGCAGATTACTGGGATTCATCCTCAGAGTTCCTGATTCCAGAGATCTGAGGTGGGGCCCAAACTTTTATAGTTTAAACAAATTCCCAGGTGATGCTGGTTTCCCTGGGAACCACATTTTGAGAACCACTGTACTTGTGAAACGATATATTTTTTAAAGATTTATTTTAGAGCGAGAGTATGGGGGGAGGGGCAGAGGGGGGAGAGAGAGAGAGTCTCAGCCAGACTCTGCTCTGAGCATGGAGCCCAATGCGGGGCTTGATCCCATGACCCTGAGATCATGACATGAGCCGAAACCAAGAGTTGGGTGCTTGACCAACTTTGCTGGCCAGATGCTCCTAAAATGATATTTTATTTTATTTTATTTTTTTGAAATGATATTTTAGAAAATGGTTTCAGTGTTATGTTATCACATGGCCATATCTTATTTATGACATTTTGCTAGGGGAAAACTTAAGAAATTGAGAATAGTTCGTTTTATACACAATTAATGTATCAGTTAACAAATAAGCTGTTGGACAATTTTATATTGATTCTTCTAATGTGCTCTAGCACTTACTCAAGTCTGTCCTGTGTTCAGCAGGAGGTCACAATGTAATGTTCCAAATCAGGGAAATTTGACAAAATTCAGAAGTTCATTTAGAATATTTCATGTATATTTGCTATATTTTAAGGAACCCTAAAATATGAAGAAAACCTAAGATGCCATCTAATTCAGCCCCTTGCTTTCCAAGAAGAATCAAACTTGAAAAGTGATTATCCTTTTCTTCTATTTAACCTATTCTTAAAGAGACTGCCATATGCCTCATTAAATTGCCCTAATGTTACTGCATTACTCTGATTTCGTACTTATTTGTTTCCTTTTTTTATGTCTAGCCTTGAGCTTCTTGCACATCAGGCCCATTTCTTCCTGTTGGTCCAAGCAGGAATGGAAAGCTACTATCCTGGGCATGGTTACAATTTGTACTCTAGAAGACTGTCCATGAATAACCCCTGAGCTTGCCTTAGCTGAGATTCATCCAGTTGCATTTATCTTTTCTATTTGCCAATAGTTTCCTCTCATAAAACTGCAGTTCTGGGATTGAGAGGGACTGAATCTGAAAGAATTTTATATTTGAACATAGTCTTTGGAGTCTTTCCCTAGGATTTAGATCTGTTCTCAGAAAGCCTCTGCAAGTAAATATTAGGAGGTTTTATGGGCTGAACATTATCAAAATTGTACAAGGATCTTGATGTGTTTTGTTATCGCAATTCTTAGTTTCTCTGAGACTCTGAAATAAGATCATCTCCTTGATTTTTTTTTTTTTAGCCATTACCAGTATGGTTTCTAAATAGATTATAAAACATTTACTGAAGTAACCAAATTATTTCATCTATAAACGTTATAGAAAGCAGCCAAAATGTTCTCATGTAAGGCAAAATAGATATGTTTTTAACTGTGTATGATGTTTATATTCTGTTTAGCTCAGTTCTCAAACATTCAAGTTAATGAGGTCAAGGTAGGGAGTTCTGGGTAGGCCACTTAGCTTTTTTTTTTTTTCTTTCACCCTGATCACTGGTCTTGCAAATATTGGCTTGTGGTCACAAAAAGGAGGTAAGTTCCAGAATGGTGGAACTCGGGTGACAATGTGCAGGAGTCCACAGAAAATAGGACCAGATGGGTCCAGCTGAGGCTCTAGGAAGTTCACAGCAATGGGTTCTAAGAAAATATCTGAACAGTGAGATGGAACATGAGGGAAGCCTGTTTGGAAGTAAGGTATATGTGTGGAGGAAGTTGACTTGTATTTGAAGTTTGATGGCCAGTAGAGAATCCAGGCTTGGGAACTAGGGTGCAGGGGCAGGAATCTAGTCCTTGTTTAGTCTTCAAAATAAACATTTTAATAATAATAATTAATACTTAATGAGAGCTATGAATGGACAAGTAATTGTGCTAAGTTCCCGTACTGACAGTTATAAATCAACTCACTGAATACTCACAAGGACCCTTTAACAAAGACACTGTTACTATTCCCATTTAACAGGTGAGGAAAGTGCAACAGAGAGGTTAAGTTGCTCAAGTTCACACAGCTTATTGTAGAGCCCCCCAAAATAGATACACTACTTTGTTCACTGCTGTTTTAAAAATGAAGAGATGGAGACTCAAAGACATTAACTTTTCTAAGAACACGCTAAAAATGAATAGTAAAACCAGGATCTGAAATGCAGCTTAGTGACTCTAGAGCCCATTCTTTTTTGCTCTTTACTTTAGAGGTAATGCAAAATTGAGTCCCAAATGGTTGACTTCTTGCAGGGAGGTGTGCACAAGCTGCTAGGACAGGGCACAGTTACCTAAGAGCAGGACCAGTTAGAATTCAGCAATTAGAACTGGTTGAACAGGCGGACTGGTCAGCAAGGCTGCCCTGGTTTTGATCTCCTAACCCAGGTCTTTAAATTCTCCCTCACTAGGGGAAAGATCCACATAGGACTGAGTGGATCTTAATCTGCAGACAGAGTGGATTAAGTAGGGAGTGGAGGAATTTGAGAGCAAGGTGAAAAGTCAGACTGTAGCGAGCAAGACAGTGTGGATGTCATCTTATCTATATTGGGAAGTAAGTAGAACTCCTACTCACTATAGGAGGATTAAAGGATCAGACTTGCCACCTTTGAACCTTTGACTATAAAGCACCTGGCAACGTACGGCATCGTCTTCCATGATGGCGTCAGAGAGTACCATATTGCAGTATACCTAGAAAGTGAATTTTGTTAAATTCTTTTAATTTCAGCAATCATTCCGTCCCAGATTCCTTGGTGTGGCTGAACAATTACACAACGAAGGCTTCAAGGTATGCAATATTAATTTTTTTCAAGTCTTTTTCTATAAGCATTGAAATCTATTCACAGAAGAGAATATTAATGATTCTTAAGGAATGAAATAGCTCAAAATATATCCTTTCAACTTGAAAGGTTTAACTAACTTGATAGTTTCAAAACTTCAATAGAATAAAATTATTAGAAAGACCAGTTTTAAGTTATAACAAAGGTACCATAAACTCCACAGAAGTTGGCAGCTACAAACTTAGAAGGTTTCGTTTACGCAGAATTGGGACCAAGGTTCAATGCATTTCCCATATATTTTTCCTTTATCCTTTTCTTGTTTCGATACGAAGTCACCGTCTTCAGCTGCTGCGGTTATAGGCAACACTTTTTTTTTTTTTTTTTGCCATGAATACCTCTACACAAAGCCTAGTTCAGTAAAATAAAGTGATTCCCGAGGCTCAGAGTGGGCCTGTGGTCATGGGGCTTTATTGATCTGATGATGATGAATCCTCAGCTGTGAATCATTCTTTGTTTCTTCCTCTACAAAAGCTTTTTTGGTTTTGTAGTAACCAAATTGTAATAACCAATTGAGGTTATTAAATTGTTCCTTAGAATATTTTAAGCATACTCAGTGTCCGTGACTCAGGACAGCAAGTCCAAATCTCTGTTCATGGTATTATTGCTTCTCATATATACCACTTTCTTCTACTTTATGTTTTAAATGACACGTGTATCCCAATAGGCTTCTTTGCTCTGCGAAAGCCTTCCCTGTGATATAGTAACTGACTTTTCCCTTTTAAATGCAGCTTTTTGCCACGGAAGCCACGTCAGACTGGCTCAATGCCAACAATGTTCCTGCCACCCCAGTGGCATGGCCGTCTCAGGAAGGCCAGAATCCCAGCCTCTCTTCCATCAGAAAGTAAGCACTGGGCACACTTCTATCCTCCCACAGCTAGAGGATTAACTTTGGGAGCCAATATGATGAAAATATTTCACTTTACCCTATTGCAATTCTTCTAAAAGTCCTCTTAGCCATTTCAGATGAATAAATCTGTGGATCTGTTTCATTCTTGTGAATTTTGCTGTTAACTATAACATATTTGTGTGCATGGTGATATGTAGCATCTTTCAAAATATCTTTTAGTTAGGTTGCATTCCTTGATGGACACCGAGATCCCAGTGATGAGAATCAGAGACGTGGAGAACATAATGCAGCACTTTATATTTTACATCAAAGTTATATTATATACAGATGTGTATATCAGGTATAAGATTGGCTAGCGGCATTTCTCCAAGGTTGTGCAACAATAAATCAGCCCAACTTATTGAGCACTTGCTATATGCAGGAGGCTGTGATGAGTGATAGGATAGCACCATCCATTGAACTGCCTAACTTACTGTTCTCTGATCAGGTTGGTTGTTATATGCCTTAGGCTATGTCGTCATGAGATTTGATAAGACATGTTATTTTCATGCATTACGTGAGTCTTTAGGAACTCCATTACATACATCCACACTTATAGATGTACGTGACATAGGTATATGAGATAATTCTTAGTTATTCCAGGATATAGCTACCATTTTTTAGGGCTCTCAAGAAGGCAACCTATAACTCAGTAGCAAATTTTTAAAAGATGGGCAAATCGTTCAGCCCTTAATAGACTTCCAATGATGCTATAAGCACTTGGTTAGGACTTTGTAATAACAATTATTAGCATTACTTCATGCTTTGGACATTTAAGTGTCTCCTAGTGCATGTAGCAGTCCCACAACAGAATGTGAAGTGGTTTAATTCAAAATCAGATGACTTGTGTTCTCCTACTGTTATCTGAGAGGCACTGGGAAGCAGGCAGTGAGGTAAAGTTCATCTGGGAGTTGGGCGTATGGGGGTAGAATGGACTTCAATATTGGAGGAAAAAATCTCCTTGTAAAACAAGTAAATACCTATCAAATTGCCAATTCTTCCATAGATAGACAGCATTTGAGAAAGAAAGCCCTTTCCATTTAATCAGACTCTCACCAGAATTCTTTCAAGAACACAAAAAATTGTAACCCCCAAATGAGTGTAATTTGAACCCCTCTTTAGGCATAGAGGAGGGTAGGTGGTGGTCGACTCAGTATGACACTGACTTGAATGGTGTAAGAGAATAATTACGTTAGTATTTTAAAAAACTAATTATAAAATATATAGGGCCACCTACAAACTTTTGTTTATTTTGATTATTCATCCAGATTGATGAGAGATGGCAGCATTGACCTGGTGATTAACCTCCCCAATAACAACACTAAGTTTGTCCACGATAATTATGTGATTCGGAGGACAGCTGTTGACAGTGGGGTTCCTCTCCTCACCAATTTCCAGGTATGTTTGTTTCCTCAAATATAGCTACATGCAGGTTCTTATTTCTGCACCTCCCTTAAGAGTGCTCATCAATGTATGCACATCCCTCTTCTCCCCTTCTTGTAACATTCAGAATGCAGAAGAATTTTTAAATAGAATCTAAAATAATGGTGCTATTATGGTAGGTCATGTCCTAACGGAGACAGTTGGTGATCAAGCAATTGAGATAATCAAAAGCCATGGAGAGCCATGCTCTCTCATTAGCCATACAATTATCTTTTAAATAAAAAGTGTGGTGTGACATGGAATAAAGACACAAACTTTTATTCCATTGTTTCTAAATGAAAGGCACCACATAAGAGCAACAGGTTAATGATAATTGAGGAACCAGGTATCATGCAAGCGCTTGTCCAATTCACAGAAAATGATCACATGAGGTATGTTTAGCCCGACTTGGACATGATGTATCAAATTTACCACCAAGAAGATCCGTACTTCAAGACACATTAACTTTCCACCCATCATGCTTTTTCACCCTAAATTTGTTTTAATCCCTTGGAGAGTTGGGGAGCAGGATAAATTTATTTTGGTAAGGTCTGAGATATAGGAGAAGGTCCCGAAAAAATAAATCCTTTTGTGTCTTTCATCACATGTCCCTTTGGAAATTGTTTGCTCCAGCTTCCTTAAATATTCATTTTTGTGTCATGTGGTTCCCTAAGATTCCTTCCCTTTTGATTTCAGGTGACCAAACTTTTTGCTGAAGCTGTGCAGAAATCTCGCAATGTGGACTCCAAGAGTCTTTTCCACTACAGGCAGTTCAGTGCTGGGAAAATGGCATAGAGAAATAGACACTCAGCTCTCTCCGAAATCAACCCAAGCCACACTGTATCTGAAAGAACTGAATCCCAGCCATCTTCCATACAGACAAATATTGATACGAAACTATTTCAGTTTACCTGGTTATGCCTTAATATTCTTTCCTTTCACAAATTATTGTCAGCCCCTTTTTACAAACCTTCCATAAACTCCTCCCTAAATAACTTGTCCTTCATGAGAATTCATCTGTGTTCTAATGCCTTATTTTTGGTGGGCTAAGCTTACCTACGTGCTTTTTTGCAGTTAACATTTTATGGTGCTGATTAACAATGATCAAGGTAGAAAACATTGCTACTCTGTCTTCTGAACTATTACTATACATACTTTCAAGACACTATTGTCATTGCTTTTAAATAGCATCTGCCACACTCAGGACATTTTCAACAAGGAAGAAGAGTATAAAAATTTGTTAAAATGAAATACAGATTTAATTTATGAACCCCTTCGTCATGATGTTTGTGTAATGTATCTTTTTGATAATTATTCTCCATTATCTGGCTCATCCAGGGATATCGCTATCCCTTTTCACAGTACTGAATTTGAGAAGTGACAGAGGTCTTTAAAGTATGGATTTCCTTAAAGCACGCTGGTTTGCAGCCTTGTGTTTTTGAGTATGTTAGCAGATGCTAGATACCACTGAGGTGGTTTTCTGTTCTCATTTTCCTTTGGATTTTAACCTGAGCCAAGTGAAATCTTCAGACTGATGCCCTCTCTCCCCACCCCTGACTCCCCACCCCCTGCCAAATTTGGAATAACTTGGAAGTTATGTCCATTCCCTTCAGATGATAGATTCTGTTGATCTACTGAGCCCCACACTGCACTATGAAATCTACACATTTTAAGCACAAGGCCCCCATTCCTTCTGCGTACAAGAAAAGTCCTTCCTGCAGGGCAAACTGTGTCATTTTTAAACTTTTTGTGTTATTACAAGTGCTCTAATTGTAAACTTTTAAATAAAATACTATTAAGAGGCAGTATGTTTGTATTCTTGCATTTATTTTATTACTTTTTTAACATTGATTTAACTGATTTAATAAAATCAGTTCACTTCTCTGATGAAACACAGTTTTAGGCCAGGATTATGTCTCTTTTCTTTTTTCTATACAAAGTCATATAGGATATGAATGGGCAAATTAATATTAAAAGGCACACCCAGGCTGTTATATTTTTCCTTTTTTTCTTGTTCCCTCACCTTGTGTATAAGTCTCATTAAAAAATTTATCACAAAAAAATAAAAATAAAAAAAATAAAAAATGTATCACATTGTTATATGGTTATATATTATCTTTGATCTAAACTCTTTCAAATATATACAACCACACACTAAGGATTGCTACATATATATAATAAACTTTTAAACAAATGTCACACAACACAGAGAGACGTACTTAAACCCCATCAAAGGCTGATCCATATCGCCTGGTGGAGATAGTGCTAATTTAGGTCCCAGTGATAACCATATTCCAGAAATACCACCTAAAATGGGGCTTTGTGAAGGTCCTAAGATAATGATGGCTTAATAGTTGTATGCCTCCCCTCTCACCCCACAGTGATTAATCAAGGGATTACCACTTGATATAGACCTCCATGAAAGGTTTGCAAATTCATTTTCTCCTTCTCTCCTTGTTACCACAGTGGTTGAAACCTTCATTGTTTCGTCCCTTTAATATTATAGTAATGTACTCCCTGGGCATCCATTCATTCATTCACCTGAAAATATCTAGTGAGATTCTGGTTAGTGTAGAATCCAGTCCCCTCCTGGTTAGTGTAGGATCCGTGATCCCTCCTGTCATTCTAGTACTTTTCTGACACTGTGCCACTTATCACTATCACATCACCATAATAACTCAAGCCATTCTAAGCATTTTACATGATTTAACCCACTTAATCCCCTAATATTCCTATGAGTATGTGCTGTCATCTCCATATTGCAAGTAAAAAGTAATATGACCAAAGTCGCACAAAATGCAGTCTCACTTTCTTTATGTCTTTTAAAAGCGCTCCCCTGCAGGGAGCCTGATGTGGGGACTGGATCCCAGGACTCCAGGATCATGCCCTGAACCAAAGGCAGATGCTCAGCCACTGAGCCACCCAGGCGTCTCACTTTTTTAATGTCTTATAATGAAGACAAACATGTAAAAAAATACATTTCTCACAAAGAAGAAAGATTTAACTTGCCTACAGAGATCAGGGAAAGACTTTTCTGGGGGAGATGGCCTCATGTATTGTCTTGAACAGTGTGTCATAGTTCCTTAGGGAGACTAATGGTTTAAGGCATCCACTGGAGGAAATTACAAGTAATTTATATGACAAACTCAGGGTATCTGTGGAGAAAGAGGGCAAGGGGCAGAAGTCGGGGCCAGATTCTTGGTTGTATATGTTTGAGCCACATGTAAATTTTTAAGACTTTGTAAGTAATTTTGGACTTAAAAAAATTGTACTCTTCTTTACTCAAATTTACCTATTAGTAATATTTTATCCCATTTACTTTTTCTCTCTTACTTTTTTTTTAAAGTAAGTTCTACATCCAATATGGGGTTTGAACTCATGACCCTGAGGTCAAGAGTTGTAAGCTTTACTGACTGAGCCAGCCAGGCACCTCTATTATTACTTTATCATCTTTGTATCATCTATCTATCTATCTATCTATCATCTATCTATCTATCTATCTATCTATCTATCTATCTATCATCTATCTATCTACCCATCCACCCAGCATTATCATCATCCGTCTATTTAAACACATGTACACAGGGAAGAGAAAAAATACACTTCAACCCAAAGGAATCAGGCTGCAAGTGACCAATTTAGAAATGTAACTCATAGTTTGAGACAATATTGCTTGCTGAAACTACTAAACATTTGAAGCAATAGTTAAGTTTATGTATTGTGGGAATTTAATGAAGGTTCTTAATTTTTTTTATTAATTTGAAAAGACTATTTAAAATACAGGAAAATGAGAAGAGTAATAATGAATCAAGCAGCATTGTTCCTAAATGAAGCCCATATTTTTTGTTGGTGAAATAAAGGGTCTCTGGACAACAGAAGACAAGATACATACCCTCTCCCTTGTACTGATATGATTACCTTGCTGTTTTCCAATGTTTCAAACTTAATACTTTAAACACAAATAAACAGTGCATTCAGGATCTCTGGTTGGCAGAGGGAAATACAAGGAAATGGAAGCAGATTTGTGTTCAGATTTGGCAAGGTTTTGTGCTTTTGGAACATTTTTATTCTTTCATATAAACAGGTTAATGCGTTTTTTAAATGTCTGAATCTGTTATATATCACAATGCAGACAGACAACATAGGGGCTGTGTCTGTGGAGCTGAATAGAAAATCGAAGTAGCTTTTTCCATACTGAGAATTTAATAGCATGCAAGGAAGACCAGCGCTACCGGGTGGGGAGAAAAGGAGCTCAGACGGCTTGTGAAATGAAGAGGAATAAAGAATGATCCATTTATAGATTTAGGATTTTATGGCTTTGGAAAGGTAAGTAGAATATTTTAACTGTACTTCTGTCAAACTTCCCTCTTAAACAGCATTCCTACTGGAAACTTTTAAAAAAACAGCTACAACATTCATTTATCTCAACAGCTGCAGGTACTTGAACCTCAGCTTCCACAGTGTCCACAGCCTCTTGAACAATGAAAGTGGAAATTATCAGAGAAACAAACCGTGGCTGAATGCAGTTAAGTGCTCTGTAATTACACACCAGTATTACCACATGACTGCTGGTGCTGCCCCCCGCAGGCACAGGTGCCATAAATGCTCACACACACCCAATCAAATCCACAAAGACCTTTCATTACCTATCATTTGAGGCACCCTTAGCTTGAAAAAGACTAGCTCAACTTTCTTTCCCTTCTTTCTCTTACTGTTTCTTTTCCCTTTGTTCTTATTCATAAAAATTCCATTTTTCCTGATGAATATTACTGTGCTATTTTATGAGAAGCTGGGGCAACTGGTGAGCGTGAAGGTAACGTGACAAGAAGAAGAATGTCTATTCTCTCCTCCTCCTGAGTGGCTCCCAGGGCTCTGTGAAAAATTGGTAATAATCGCCCCTACTTTTTCTCTTGCACATAATGTAGGGTGCAAGGTTTCCAGAAAGAGAGTTTAAGTATCTACAGCTGTTGAGATCAATGCCTAAGGGGGGAAGGAGGGAACCCTCAGCAAGTCAAAATTAGCACCATTTGTGCATGCTTCTTGTTGCTTAAAGATCATTTTTTGAGTCTTGACAACTTTCATTTTATAAAGGACTCGTATCCACAAAGAAAACTATTGATTGTTGACCAGAACAAAAAATAGGCTTTTCTGCATTAAAGGTCCACTTTCTCTCTCCTGAAACTACCAGCCTAGCTAATTATTTCTTTAAGGCCTTCCTTAGAAGAACCCCACAAACCACAGAGAAGTGCTTTTGTTCATCAAAGGAAGCAACACCAGCAGTCTCACAAAAAAGTCAAAGATGCTGTGTCTCCAGATGACAATTTCCCATAAAAAGCTTGTTGCCGTTAGCAGCCAAAATGAAGATAGACAAGATATCAACATGCAGAAAGGAGAGAAATCCAACAAACTCCAAACATGTTACTAAGAAGAGAAATAACTTGAAAAATGTATTTTATTAACAAAGAAACATTCTAATGGCCAATGTCTAGATGACCATATTCTCCTTTCTGAAACTTAAGGGCATTTGGCAATTCTTTCATAGTCTCCTTTCTACCTCCCTATACAAGATCCTGAAGGGTGAAATATGGCAGGGCTTTGAGGTCTTTAGCATAACTGAAATTTTCTGCTGAGTGTTTTTCATAACTCTTTACAAATTTCCACATAGAAAGCTGCAAATTAAATTTATATGAAATAATTTAATTAGATTGTAACATTTATTTTAATCTCTCCATTCAAGAGGATTTACATATGGATCCTGTTTTAAAAAATGTTTTCTAATTAAAATGAGGACATAATGTCATATTATTTGCCAGGTTTGATATACTTTCTTTCCGACTCATAATTAAAATATATAGGGTGCCTCAGGGGAAAGATAGTGATGCTGCAGTTAAAATATGAATGAGTAGGAGATTTTAGAGATTTTTTTTTAAACCACGAGGCATAAGTATTTGATGTAAATTGGGCTCATACTTTATTTATTGTATCTTATTGTAGAATAAGACAAAGCAACACTGAATTGACCCTCCCCAACATTGGAGGCCTCCGGAACAAAAAATCAACTTGGCCAATTGTATTACCTGCCTTGGGGTACTGTGAGGTCCTGTTTGCTTCTGAAGTAACTTGCCAACTCTAACGCCTGGTTTTGTTGAAGTCTGTGGATCTGAATTTCCCATGGAAATGGGAAATGCCACCAGATGGTATTTTGTAGTCTGAACCATCAGGGAATGGTCCCTGACTTACTCCCTCTCTGAGTTTTACCATGCTAATCTCCTTGGAAGGCCAGTTTTAAACAGATACTCTCAGAAGTACATGAACCACACCAGGTTTTGGGGTACACATAGTAGCTAAATGTCGGTATGTACTAATGTCCATATGGCAGTGTTGGTTTTAATCAGTGATGGTCTTCTTTGATCCAGTGAGGTTACCCTGTTATAAGTATTTCCAGATCATCTCAACATCTTTTTCTTTAATCTGAACCTAGAGCTGAGAGCTAATCATGAGTCTCTATGCTGCAGAAGGTAGAGTGTCCAGGAGGTAGAGAGATATTGTCTTACTGATTTGTATTTCTGGAACCTAAATGATAGTATACATTGAAAACTATTGAATCCACAATATTTTGATACAAAAAAGTAATAGTGGTAAGAAATTTTTGCTCAGAATAATTGTGGTCCTGTCGCCTCTTGATTTAGTTAGGGGTTCCTGTTTCCTCTCCTGGCTACCGGACTATGACCAGTATCCACTGGCCTCCAGTTTAACTTCACTCTTCATGTCCATAGGAGGCTGGAGCAGTTTGTAAAGGAAACTC